TGGGAGAAACATCTACCGTACTTTACTTTGGGCTTATCCGAGAAGTTCCTAATGCTACGACTGGTGTTAGTCCGTTCCAAATGCTTTATGGAAGACGTCCTAATGGCCCGTTGTCTATTTTGAAATCGTCATGGACTAATGAAACTCCTGTTCCTCATGGACAGTTAAGTTCAGTTACCGATTATCTGAATGATTTGAAGACGAAATTGGAAAAAGCTGCTGAATACGCAGGACTTACAGATGTTGGAAAGCAACAAGCTTATGCATTCTACCGTAACCGAAAGACTCGTCATAAAGAATTCAAGGAAGGTGACAGGGTTATAGTTTTAATAATCCCTGATAGCCAAAACAAAGTTTATGCCAGATGGACGGGACCTGCTACGATCATCAAAAAGCATACTGATTATAGTTACATAGTACAAATGCCTGACAATTCATCGAAGCACGTTCACGCAAACAAGATACGAGAGTTCAATACCGCTGTGAATAATGTCGGTGTGATATATGATACAGATATTGATTTCGGCGAAGTTGAAAACGTTCCAAGAATTGTTCCACGGAAAGCAAAAGAACACTATTCTAATGAGGAATGTGATTTTACACACCTTGAACCGCATAAGAAGAAAGAACTTATGGAAATTTTAAGAAGGCATAAGAACCTAAGAACTGGTATTCCGAAAATCGCCAATGTGAGAGAACACAGCATCAAACTGAAACCTGGAAGTATGCCAAGAAAGCAGAAACCGTATCGAATACCTGAAGTTCTAAGAAATGAAGTTGATCGACAAATAGATGAGCTATTGCAGCTAGGGCTAATTGTTGAGTCGGCGAGTGAATATGCACATCCGGTAGTTTGTGTATCAAAAAAAGACGGAACTGTGAGATTATGTGTGGACTATCGATACCTGAACTCACAGACGGAAACCGATGCCTTCCCGATGAAAAACACTGTAGACCTAATTTACCAAGTGTCAAAGTCCAAATACATCACTTTGATTGATCTTCTTAAAGGGTACTGGCAGATACGACTGAAGCCCGAGTGCCAACCTTTGACGTCGTTTGTGACCCACAGAGGACAATATGCCTTTGTAGTTTTACCCTTTGGATTAAAGAATGCCGCCGCAACTTTTCAGAGAACTATGAACAAACTTCTCGCCGAACATAAAGACTATGCCGATTCTTATATTGATGACGTGATTATATTTTCTGATGACTGGAATACACATCTGAAACATCTTAACAAAGTCTTAAGTACGCTAGAAAAGGCAAATTTCACGGTTAATTTCAATAAGTGTGACTTTGCAAAGCATAAAATCAAATTTCTAGGACACGTAGTTGGTTCCGGTTCACACGAACCTGACCCAGAAAAAGTTGAAGCCATACAGAATTTAGAAGTTCCCCGTACTAAGAAAGATGTAAGAAGTATTTTAGGACTATTATCGTATTACCGATCTTGGTCTTACGTACCCAATTTTTCTGCGATAGCACAACCTTTAACTGGCATTAACAAAAAGAAGGGCTTCGAACGAAATTACTTGGCTGAAGGAACACAATGAAGCGTTTATTCAATTAAAACGTGCCACTTGCAATGCCCCTAAATGTTATTCTCCAAATTTTAGTTTGCCTTTCATCATTTACGCAGACACATCGGCATACGCTGTAGGAGCTTGTTTGGCTCAACAAGATGAAAATAGTGTAGAACACCCAATAGCCTTCACTAGTAAAAAGTTGACCGAGACACAAAGAAATTACGCTGTTATTGAAAAGGAAGCGATTGCCGTTATCTTTGCCCTGAAGAAGCTTGTTTCTTATATCTTTAGTTCTGAGATAGTCATCGTTAGTGATCATAACCTCTCAGATTTCTCACAGAATGTTCTTCACAAAGTTCTCGTTTACAACGCTGGTCTTTAGCATTACAGCAATTTCATGCAGTGATTACATACCGGAAAGGAAACGATCATATTAATCATATTAATGCAGATTCGTTATCTCGATTGACTGCCTCTCACTGGGAGCATGACTGACGTTATGAACTATGAACTATAAGACATTTTGACTGTTTAGTTTGAATTTTTTTTTTTTTGAGCTAAAATGCTAAATTTTTTTTTTTTTCCTAACGTTATGTAATAGTTTAAAGATTTAGCCAGGGTTTGCTAAAGTATTATGTTTAATTTTAAATGATTGATTTGTATTGTCTCGTTTATATGATTATGATTATGTGAAGGATTTAAGTTTGAAAAGTTAATTGAATGTTACATCCTTTTAAATGAATAGGATTACTGAATTTATGTTGAAGTAATTTTAATTTAAAATGGTAAGAATTGGTTAATTAAGTTCGAAAATTTCATGAATGTTATTTTATTTTGTTTCAAGAAATGTTTATATATGTGGATTTGACAGGTCATTGAAAGACGCAATCAAATCTTTTCGAGGGGAGGTGTCATGACGTGATGACCACGCATGCGCAGTTTAGCCGAACGGCCTGCAACGCCTCTCTCTCATGAGACTTACTAGAGAAGAGTAGTTAGTAGGTAGTAGCGAAGTAACGAAGGAAACGTGTTGTATGTCAGCTTGGATGCAAAATACGCAGTTATACTTGTGTGTTAATCGTTTGTACTTATTATTTTTATTTGTGTGTTAATAAAGTTTTGTGCCGTTAAAATGGCTGTTTTATGCAATGCCTACATTACGATACATCTACAGTAGGAATTAAATACATATCCAGAATCTACAAGCCCAACAAGAAGGATATGACAGATACCCATAATCCGAAATGATCTATAATCCGGACCTCAAAGCTACAAACTTTCTGCGCATGCGCAAAATACGTTTACAAATGCGCATTTAATGTGTAACGGATAAGTTAAGCTAAAATTATCTAATTCAGTTAATGTTGCAGATTACATTGTTCCTTAATCTTCGAATTGGATTCGGCTTATTATTTTTTGCAGACGGTTAGAGTAATTTTATAAAAGTAAGCTTGAACTTTCGATTATGTCAAATAGAATTTCTGATATATATATACTAATATGTAAAGGATCTACAAAGCGAAAGTAATGTTTCGAATCCATTAAACAAAAAGTGGAATTGCTGCAAAAATGAATAAAGCATATCCTTTGTTTATCTAAACTTTGTTTATCTTTAACGCCGTGCAATGAATTGGAAGTTGATCTGTCAGCACTATCCTTATCTTCAGGGCAGATGTTTTTATTTTATTTGGCTTATAATTCCTTACTAAATGTAATATTTCATCTCGATGTACTCCGTCTTATATGATTTAAATCAAATTCCTCGTCATTATAATTCGCTTCTGATAGCGAAGAAAGTGGCAGAGGTTATTGAAAACGAAAAAATTTCGATTGACAAATTAGTCGGTATTCTCGACACACAGCAATTATAGGACTTTAACAACAGCGGAACTTTGTAACTGAACAAGAAATTATGTCTGTTTATAGAATTATTAAGAGAAAGTATTATCACATAAAAACGAAGCAACTTAAACAACTTACATTGAAAGAAATGTTTAATAAAGTAAACAAATAAATATTAAGCTTTTTTTTTTTTTTTTTGTAATTTTGATACCCCTTTAGATCATAATTGTTCTTTATTTCATAAATTACGGTTTCATATTTTTAATTTTATAATTTCTGCATGCCATCTTACCAGATTTAAACTGATGATCTATAACCCGGAATCGCCGAAGTCCCGACAAGTCCGGATTAACGACTTTTGACTGTACTAACTTTATATTCAATTAAGATCATTTCTGTTTTTTTTTTTTTTTCTTTTCTTTCTAAAAAAAAAAAGGCTTAAAAAAGTTAACAAAACTGCATTCAATTCAAGAAGGCAACAAAGTATAAAAGGAAGCATCGAGTGCTTATTATGAAATGGTATATTGAGAGTAAATCATTCATGTTCATACAAGGAAGTTGAAAAGTGTCCTAAACTGAAGATCCAAATAACTGACATCATGAATAACACAACAGTTAAGGTTCTTACAACATCAACAAATGTTACTATACTGGCAAGTATAGAGATAAGGGTGTTGTAAAATTTGATTGCATCTTCTATAGAAACTAATAAGCACCTTAAGATAAAAGTGGATGATGATGGAATGCTTCATTACTAAATAAATTATTTCATTTATTACATATCTACAGTATCACTGAAGTATTCACCTAATTCTGCCCCATCATGTACAACCTCTAAATGCAGCATACAAAAGTGCAAATTTTCACAATTTTCAGTTCAAAGATAGTCAACACCCATTTCACAGAGATGATACTGGGGACAGTGTCCACAGTTAACTCAAAATCATAGTTTATCCGAAGATAATTAAGAAAAAACAATGAGAGAAATAGCCATATTATAATTAACAGAAAATATGAACAATTCATTTATACTTTCCAGCAGTTATTCATTTGGTTATGTAAATTAAAAAAAATTACAATGCAGGTAACATAAGAATAAATATCATTAGAAATGTAGAAACTAAGTTATAATGAAAAGCATTAAGAATATTACTTATGAGGGAACTTAAATAATGCTGCATCAGAGTTGGATAATTTCATTGAATGCTTCATGATATTAATTTGCCATTACTTGGTAATAAACTCTTTTAACCCCGAGCCGCACAACAATTTTATTGATTAGCATATATTAGCTTACAATGTAAAATATTTTTTTTTATTTAATAATATAAATATAATCTTAATAAATGAAAGTCTATGAAGCCAAAGACTAAATATGCAATTAAACAAATTAAGCTACTAATATTGCTTAAAAAAGGCTCAGTTAATTGGAAGTCAATTGTAAATAAAATTATTACAATAAATAATAATTTAATAAAATTATTACAACTAAATAATTTTATTTACAGTCGACTCCCAATTATATTATTTTTTTTTCAATAAAAATTTCTCTATTTCATCCAGTAATGGAGAAGGGCACAATAACTTTACAAAGATATAATAAAGCACTGCATCTGAGTAAACAAAACAAAAACCACAATGTCTCTTTTACTATACAAATGAGCAAAATCTTACATCATTGTTAACTAATCTGTATGTACAACACATGATTTGAAAACTTGAATCAAAATTCAAGTAACATAAAATAGTCACTAACATAAAGAATAAACCAATATTTTTCAGATCATAATTTAATTTTAATTAATACATATTTTATACCTACATAAGATCCTTAAGCCAGATCACTCTAAAATGGTTCTTTAATGACCTTACATAAGGTCAAATGTATAAGAGCTTCACTGATCCCTATAAAAGCATATTCACAGTGCAAACAAAGAGTTATACAATTTTTTTGCAAAAATTCACTTCTCATTAGAAGAATGGCTTAAAGTGTTTTGGCACATTTTTTAAAAATAAAAACATGCTAGAAAAAAAGATCTTGCAGATGTGCACATGTACCCTTATGAATATATACTGGTGAAAAGTACAATATTAAATGTTTTTGCAATGAACTATAGGCATATTTATGCAGGAATATTAGATCAAATTCATAATGATTTGCTGCTAAAATGTATGTATGTTTTATAAGCCATAAGAACTTCTAAAATGTGTAAATCATTTATTTAAGGAAAATGCTGTGATACATAATACAAATTGAAATACTTTTTGGGGCCTGTAACTGTGAGAAGCCTGATTTTATAACATTAGTTATAAAACAAATTTCAGATGAAGTATGTACAACATGAACTTTAAGAATAAAGTAGAAATAAATCAGCACTGCAAAGTTCTGAATACATTTCATCAGAAAAATTCAGAAGAAATCTACAGTTTCATGAAAGTGCTACATTAGCTGCTTGAAGATATTTGCTAAGGTGAGCTGCAGCTTCTGGTACAAGACTTGCGGCTATCAAAGCTGGAATCTGAAATTAAAAATAATAATTGTGAAGTTTATGTTCTATTAAAATATAGTATCTATGGATCATCAGAGAAACCACAATTATCAACAACAGTAATTTTAATAGCCTCTAATACAGTGATGGTGAACTTTTTGAGCTTGGTCTGTCAAAAATTTGGAAAAACCCTAGCTTGCCTCTGTCATGTCTGATATGCAACAATCAGTCTGCCAAGTATGCACTTGAACACACTCGAAGTAAGTGCAGTACACGTTGACAATGACGAGGCCTTTGCAAGAGAGAAATATATTTGTATTGCAATTTAGTCTCCACCCACGGCTCAGAAAATGCATGATGCATGTCACCCAAAATGGGCTCGGGTATCATAGATTAACCATCACTGCTCTAATATGATTTTTGTACATAAACATATTTTCAACTTGCCATCAAGTGGAAAAGTTACTGTTCTGTTCTTATCAGAAAAAGGAAATTCTAGTATGCACTAAATTTTGTGAGAACCAGCATGAAATAAAACCTAACACTGAATTTACATGAGGTTGTACAGTTAAAATATGACTGAAAAAGGAAAAGTATCCATGACAGAAGCTAATTTAAAGAATCAAAATTTTCTCATTTGAACACAGTATCATGTTTCATTTACTGATTAGAAGAAATAACATCAATTACATGGGATAGGAAATAACTGTCTGTAACAATACAGCTATTGGTCTGAATAATTTTTAAAAGAAATTTTGTTCAAAACATATGGTCACACATTCTAAAGTTTGAACTGGAGCACAATAAAACTTTGAAAAATCTACAACAGTTACTTTTGTTTCTTACCTAAACAGTGATTTTGCAAACAATGTGATTATTGCTGCTTGGGCCATCTAAAATGCTAATATACAAGATAGCAATATGAGAGAAATTTATGTAAATGCATGCACATTTTAGTTGAATTTTAAAGAAACCTTATTCTGAAATCAATTTTGAAATTGTGATAAACCATCTTTCAAAGCTCGTGACTTTAAATGTCTTTACTATCAATACTGTATACCAATTGTATATAAATTTATGGAAAATTTTAATAAGATAATAAATGATTTAAAAATTTTTTTTATTAGATAATACTTTTAAAAAAAATACAGCAATGTTATTTTCTAACATTACTATTGTCAGAAAAAGGCAATACCGACACTGGTATATTAATAAATAATTATTATATCAGTGCAGTACTGGAATAATAATTATTTGTTATAATATTAAGAATTAAATTTATTTTTAATGTATCCTTGAGAAACATAGAAATACAATGCAAGAAATATGGGTTGCTTTAACTTGCAATATTCCAAAGAGGCTTTTAAAGAATGCTAATAATGTTTGCTTTTCCTTGATATCTTAAAAAGTTATTCTGGGGGAAATGTATTAAGCCAGAGTTTCTTAAACCTTTCCGGACGGGTGTCCCATATACGCATTCCCCAAGAACATCTCTTACAGTCGGGCAGCCCATCCACACATCACTACAGATTGAATTCACAGGACGGGCAATGCGTATATACATTTTAAGCTGGAACCTTCCTCTGAAGATCGCCAGCTGGTACTCTTTGTCCATTACTTTTGAAATGAACACAGTTTTATGTTCCTCAACTTGAGTTTGATATATTCTGCCTGACTTTGGTATTTTACTCATCAGTTATTGCAAGGGTGTGGAGGGAAGCATAAACAGAGGTGGGTCTTTATATCGCCACTTGCTAATATAAACATTCGCTTGCCTGATTTATATCCAATTCCCTTTTTTTATTCTATTTTTCTCACTTACTATGTATGGTCTTTTAGGGTTATTATGTGGAGCTCTGTTACGTTTTGCATTGCCTACAGATATATTTCAGATCCTTCCCTTTTTATTTCGGAAAGCTTCTTCTCCAGTCTATTGTAGCGCGAATGTGCTATTTATCAGAGGAAGAATACACTCGAATGATTAATGAACCATTTACTAACACAGATGAGAGTGATAATTCATTTTCTAAAGTGTCAGAAAGTGATGCTACTTCTAAGAGTTAGAAAGTGATACTTCTCTGTGCTTCGAGATTTACCAAACTGAGTCTTCATTTTAAATTTTACTTAAATTACTGCCTACTGTAAATAGTCTTTATTGTGTTGCTTTATTAATTTTAAACTTTATTGATAGATTTTTATCAATTAAAACTTTGTAATAATTTGAATAGTGCTTCTGAAAATTATTTTACAAGGAATTTTTTAAATATATTTTCATGTAAAATAAAGAAAAAAAAAAGTTTATTAAATACTAATTTTAACATATGTAAGAGCTCAAGTAATAATCTAAAATGATACCAAAAATTACAACACTAGAAGTGAAACTTTTTTTTATTATTTCTGTTTATTTATTTATTTATTTTTTAAAATTAGGCTTAGCAATGCAAAATCCCCCTGTCCAGAATGGTGACTACCTTTGATTCTCTTTCGCCCCATATGAGCATCTTAAACAAAGGTGGGGCATTGCGAAAGGGTTAAACTGTGGGTTGTGACTCCCTTGAGGGTCGCCAAAAATTTTAGCAGTTTTGACATTTCTTTAACTCATTACAATGATTTTACAATTACCAAATATTTTTACACAATGTATCTGAAAACAGATAAAGATAAGACAATACAAAATAAAGAAAAAAACAAAAAACATTTTGATGCATTCTTTTTATAACATAAACGTTCATTTTACTTGCTTTGCAAGTGATACTGTCATTTTGTCTATAACTTATTTAAAATTTTCACATTGTTCTCTGTCTTAAAATTAGAAATTAAAGTTAACCTAAAACTGCAATAGTACATTACAGTACATCTAATGTGTGGGATATCATATTTTTATATTTTGAAAACTTTCCTGGTATATCTTAATTATCAATTGCATATAGTTTTATAATAAAGTACATAATGTAAATAATGAAATTTTTGAACATTTGTATAAAATGTTACTAAAAATCAAGTCTCAGTTTAATTTCTAACATTTTTTTTTTATTAATAAGTGCTTGATAGCCATTTGCAAAAGATATTTATTTTAAGGTCTGCTATAACTATACCGAGTTGGTTACTCCTTTTACCAGACATTTGATTTAAAAAAAAAAAAAAAAAAAAGTTGAATACAAATGTCTCCAGAATTTTTCCAAGGAAGTCAACAAATTATAATAAGCATTAGTAGCAGATAAATTTAAAAGTATCAAAAATTAATTTTATTGCCTTTCTTTAGTTAGTGCTTCTCGAAAACTTGAAATATATATAATATGGAGGGAGAATAAAAGAATCCTATTCGCATTTCATAAACAAGTGGTGGGGTGCACACAACACACGTCTGCTTATGATAATATGCATGGTCAGAGTGTATGTATACATATTTCATTTAATGAATTGTTTTCATAACATGTATATTAAAATTCCTGGTCGATAAAATTTTTACTAAATTTTAATGCTCAAATTTAAAGGACTTGATTTAAAATAATATATAAATTGGTTGATGAGAAAAATGAATGCAATAATCACAATTTAAGACACTGAAAATATCGTCAGAAAACAAAGCAGCAAAATTATTTTTCAGAATTTACTGACTATTGCATTACATGATTTTACCTAATTTAAACATCTATTATATTTAGGTATAAATGGTTACTTATGGTAATTTTAAATAGCTGCTGTATATTTAAATTACTAACCACTGTAACAATAACAATATATATTTATTTATTTTCCTTACCTTCCCAGGATGGGCAACAGATAACTTTTGAAGACTATAAGCAAGATGTAACCGGACATCATGCACAGCTCCATTAATAGGATCATGCTCAGATTTACCAGCAAAAATTAGCTGGCAGTATGCACTTTGGTAACCAGGCGTCTCATCAACTTCTATAAAATGTTCATCATCTGGTATGCTGTCGTCCTCAGGCAGTTCAAACAATCCAATCAGTGCTTGCAACAATGGAGCCCTATGTCAAAATGAAAATTATTATTTACTTTCTTCAAAGAAAAAAAAAAAAAAGTACTTGTGAATTCTTTGCAGCAACTACGACAAATTGCCTAACAATTGCCTCTAATATGGCAACCATAATTTATTCCACCTTCCCCAAAAGGTTAATCTTTTATGTCTTTTTTATCTATGGTTGAAATGACATTAATCAAGTGATGTGAGAAACAACTAGAATATCTGTAATAATAAAACCAATAACCAGAATAACTTTATCAGGGAGGTTTTATTCAAGATACCTGGCCAAATATGGTAAAGGTTAACCAGGAGGACCCAATAAAATTGCCGAAATCGACAATCTCTTTGTATCAATAGTCTCTTGGTACATTGGAAAACAACCATAGACTGATTTATAGATATGCTAGATGTTAAGAACAATTTGGTACAAAGCAGAAAAGTGTTTTCTGGCTGAAGGTCATAACACGGTGTGAAAACACTTTTGCAAAAAGCTAACGCATACCTCTGTATGCAAGGGTTCAATATCCGCGATTCCCAGTGGAGAGGAAAAGCGCATTGAAGTTTCAGAATAACTTATGAAACACAACAGTGAAACAAATTCAGCATAAATTAATTAATTATTCCCTGAATTATCAGGATTATACACATATGCATGTGATATTTTCCAGCAGTTGTGAGGAAGCTTGGTATCAAAGTTCAGGCATGGCTTTTGCAGAGTGGTAAGGCAAAATTCAAATGACGAGACAAGATGATTTAGCTTTTCATTTAATCCAATTAGCAGACCATTTTCCTTTTAGATGAAACTCTCTAAATTACATATCCACAGTGATTTTAACTAAGTATGACTGAATTTAAACTTTCTGCGTCATCATTATTTCTAACAAAGGAAAGAAAAATGGACAGAGCAGTGCAGTCTTGTAGCAGCAATAGTAGGAAGCAGTCTGACTAAAAAATGGCGCCTACTCAATATTTATAGTAGCAGTTATGTAATAGGCTAGCATATTCTAGAAGGTACTGGTCTAGGGGGAAGATCTTAAATTGCAAAAAATTAATTGGAGGTTGCATGTTCGCGTAGAGCAAAGCCATCGTATTTTTTATATTTTACAAGCATATATTTTCCTAATAGATGGAATTGAAGAAGGGAGAAAAATGATCATCTTTAGATCCTCATGTACATTCTGAAATTTAGGGTTCTCCTCAGAACTGTGTTTTTCAAATTTAACTTTCCGCCATGGAAATCTTAATGTATTTAGCTGCTATAAAAATGTTAGCAGGGGATAACGGCTATCAGTGGTCAAAACATGACTCCCCTCTCCCATTCACCAATGCACATTTTCCCATTAAATTACAATACAGATTTTCCCATTAAAGTTCCATTAGTTCTGCTTTTAACAATCTCCCTGTCTTCATTAGTGACATTCCGCACAGCTCTCATTTTCAGAATTTTTCTATTTACATTACAATGGCTTCCAAGCATAAGAGTAGTGGTGCTCTCAATGCTTCTAAACTTAAATGAAGCTGTGATGTTTTATTCATTAGCGAAAAAGCAAAACTTCTGGAGAGTAAATTCTGCATTATTGTACCCACAACACTTTATAAAGTAATATAATGCATAATTATATTTTTATTTATTAATATTGTTAATGTGTTACTATGCCACATTAATTGAACTCTGCAATTTTATATGCTGCATGGATACCTGTTCTACATGGTGTTCGCTGTTAAGTGCACTTTCATGTATGCACAATGTATCCTGGAAGACGTTACGTGTGGATATGGGGGGTAGTAATGCATGCCATCCGGAGACCTATCTTACTAAATTTATATGGTGAGAGCACAAGGGCTGAAAAAATTGAAGCTATTCTTACAGAATCTGCAGAATTATAACCATCAAACATTGTAAATACAATTTTACCAAAAAATACAAATACAAAGTTGCCAAAAAATACAAATACAAAATACAAATTTACCAAAAAAGTGTCAATCTGAATAGATTGACTTTTCTGGTAAATTTGGTTGCTCTAAAAATCTACAAGTACCAAAATGAGAAAAATTTTGTATAGATAAAACAAAATTATTTGCATATGTATTTTGTTTACCAAAAAATACAAATTTACCAAAAAGTGTTAATCTAAATAGATAGACACTTTTTTTGGTAAATTTGGTTGCTCTAAAAATCTACAAGTACCAAAATGAAATTCCGAAATTTCATTACATATACAACAAGATATAATTAATTCATTAGAACTCAAATTATGGTTACATAAACTTTTACACTGATATTCACAATTTCCTACATAAAACAAATTCTGAGAAATGTTGGGTGAAGTTTTATGCATTCAATATTAAATTTAATATCATAAACATTTGAAAAAAATTTCATTTTAAACTTAAATTACAGGACAAAACTTTCACAGCTCAAAATTTATTTGAAAAGGATTTGAAATGAAATTTTGCCAAAATAAAAGTATTTTGAAGTAAAACAATATACGAAAAATGTACCAGAATTGAGAATAGCAACCATCAACAATCTCAGGGACTTCAGTGAGTAACTTAACCATTCCAACAGAGCAAATTTTTCTTTCAATCTGTCCTGAAACCTTTTGTAAATCAGGAATGATTAAACGCTCAATCACCATGGCAAACATCCTGTAAAAAAAAGTTTAAGAATCATTTCCTTTATAAGAATAAAATGTTTTGAAACTGCTCAAATTAACAAACATAATTAATGGGAAATTTAAATTTTTGTTATAAAATAGTTAAAAAACTTTAGACAATCAAACAATCAAATGGTAGATACAGTGAATATTTTAAACACCTGTTTCTTTTTCTTTTTTTACATTTCTTAGAAGGAGCAATATTTTTCTCAGAATTTCCTGAAGCATTACTTTCACTCTTCTTTCAAATCTTTAAATTATCATAAACAGAAAGAAATCTTACCTTCTCCTTTACCAACTGGAATCTACAGAATGAATCATTAGTGCAGTTTCTTTCTTTTTTCTTTTTGCAATCAACAGCTTATTTATGAATAACAGATAGCTGTAATAGATAGCAGAATTTTTCTTTCCTTCCCCTCTTTTCTCTTTATAAATCTAATGGCTTTATATCTGGCAGTTAGGAATTAGTTAAAAATAGCTGAATCTATTGATCTTATTAAGAACTCTGCCTAAGGTTCACCACATGTGGTAGCAGATTTTGTGATCTATCACACCTTCTCAATGCATACAAGAAAGTGAGACAGATAATTATACACATCCACGCTTTTCCGGATTCAAACTCAGGCCTAGCAAAATGGCAACTAACTTCACTAACCACAATGCTAATTACATTGGATAACAGTAGAATTAAAGGTGAAAATGCCAACATATAAGTTAAAAATAATTTTCAAACACACTTTTCAATTATGCTATTAGTCCAGTTTAAAGTTATGTAATTAAAAAAAATATATCCTTGGCTGGAACAAAGGTTTATTATGTCATAAGCACATGAAGACTATCTGCCTAAAAGAAAGGATGCCTTTGTAGATGTCTTTCTAAGGAAAACTAGCTTGTATCCACCACTATACAAAATCCAAAACCACCAAAACTCACATGCAGCCAGCCTGTTTTCTAGGATTTGAATTTGAAACAAATTTGCAGCGTTTAATGGGTTAACATTTGGTTGCCGGTAGGCAGGCTTATTTCAATAACAGATTTAATTTTAGTAAGATGAACTGTAACAATTTATATTCACATGCTAAAGTGCCTAAGGATCCAGGAGAAAGATGCCCGTTTTAAAAATAGAAACATAAATAGCAGTAGCATCCTATTTCACATTTTATTTTACCATTATAAAGTTTCCCATTTTTTATCACTTTGTTCTGACGATATCATCCTAATGCTTCTCGTTTTGAGAATTTCACTCAAAATTTCAGCAGAGCACATCCAGTCACTGCTTCTGGTATCTCACAATGAATAGTGTCTATTTTAAATTACTTGAGGCCAAAATTAGAAGGATTCACCTTTCAAACGTCCTTCAGAGAAAAGAAAACAGTTTTGATATTGATTGCTGGCTGCACTTCTGATCATTTCCTTTGGGAATTTAAGTCAGAAGTACATAGAAAAAGAAGAGATGACAAAACGGCAAACACTGTTTTATATGATGACAAAATAAAATCTGAAATGGGATATAAGTTGCCCTTTTCCTTTCTATTTTAAACTTGGGTGATCTTTCCTGCCAGATCTAATATATATATTTGCATACAACAGATAGATATACCAATGCATTAAACTATTGATTATCTGAATATCAATTATTTGTTTTGTGGAATCATGCTTTTCTCCTTTAGAAATATGAAAAACTGGGGAATAAAATTTTATTTGCATATTTTAATTCTAAAATATATGCACATTTGAAATATGTAATAAAAATTATGCAATTTTTGAACCTATTTTGATAAAAAAAAATTATGCAGCAAGAGGGTTAAAAGCAACCAGTAGAAGAGCAAAAAGCAAATAAAGGTGGAAGAGCAAAGATAAAGTGAAGCATCAGAATGTGTACAGAAGTTGTCAGACTATTTAACTTGATTTTAGTGTCATCACAAATTTCTGTAATCTTGTCCATTGTCACTACTAGCATAAAAAAAGAAGGGGGATGTGAAGATTTTTCCTAAAAGGAAAACTTAAAATCTATGCAAAATTTTATTATTTTTTATTTACATTTTATTTAAAACACTATATTATACATTATTTCTTTAAAACTTCTCAAGAGTTCATTTTTACTTTATCAGTTTTGGATTATCTATTTTTCTGGCTATATCTGTATATACAAGCACTACTTACTGCACTTAACATGGATAAATTAGGTATTCAGAAAACTGAAACAATAAGAAAATAAACAACACAGGAGATAAATGATAAATTTAAGACTTACTTTGGCTGTATGCCATCAATAAGTGACACCAATGTCTGAGGTCCATACTTGTATGAAAACAGAAAGAAAAACACTAACAAACCTTTAAAAAAAAAATGAAAATATATAAATAAAACTAATAATATTATATAAATTGTTTTCTAATACACTGGACTGGACCTGTGCAAATAGCTTGCATGGAAATATTTTGGTCTCTGCCGTATTATGTTATTATCAGGCTCCTAAAAGTCTTTAATCCGGACTCGTCGGGACTTCGGCGATTCCGAATTAGGGGTTTTCCGGATTATAGATCATCAATTTAAATCTGGTAAGATGGCATGTGGAAATTATACAATTAAAAATATGAAACCATAATTTATGAAATAAGGAGCAATTATGATCTAAAGGGTATCAAAATTTACACACACACACACAAACAAACAAAACAAAAAAACAAAAAAAAAAAAAAAAAAAAAAAAAGAAGGCAGCTTAATATTTATTTGTTTACTTTATTAAACATTTCTTTCAAAGTGCGCATGCATGAAGCATACATTACGCATAGTCAAAATTAGAAAATTGCAAACAGAAAACTATTTGATGTGTATTCATGATATTTATAATGATGAGGAAATTGATTTAAATCATATCGGAGTATATCGAGATGAAACACTACATTTAGTACGGAATTATAAGCCGAATAAAATAAAAACATCTGCCCTGAAGATGAGGATAGTGCTGACAGATCAACTTCCAGTTCATTGTGCGCTGCGATGCCACCCCCCACAGAGCAGTGTGAAATTGATAAACAGATTTCGAAATGGTTAGAGAAACAAATCCCCTCTTTGTCACTTTCTTCATTTTTTGCAGCAATTCCACTTTTTGTTTAATGAACATCAAAACATGCTTTCACTTTGTAGATGGCAGCTCCAGAATTGGAAACTCTTTTTGACATAATTGCAAGTTCAAGCTTACTTTTCATAAAATTGTTCTAACAGTCTGCAAAAGATAATAGGCTGGATCCAATTAGAAAATTAAGGAACAACACAATCTGCAACATTAACTGAAATAGATAATTAGATAATTTTAGCCTAGCTTATACCGTCCGTTATACATTCAACGCACATGCGTAAACGTATTATGCGCATGTGTTTACACATGCGCAAAAAGTTTGTAGCTTTGAGGTCCAGATTATAGATCATTCCGGATTAAAGACTTTATACTGTAATATTTTAATGCACAGCAGATACTCCTTGGGATTTTATCATATAAAATTAAAACAAAATTTTTTAAGTGAAAAACTAAATATAATTGCCTGGATAATTTATAATAATTTAGTTTATTTAATTCTTATAAATAGGGTGCTTTTCTCTCTCTCTTTTTTTTTTTTTTAAACTGACACTAAGTTTAATCTATCGGCTAGAATGCCATCAAATTTCATAGGAGGACTAATGATGACATGGGGGAAAAAGACTGTGAAAAACAAAATTAGTTCTGACAATTGCCAACAGGAGAAAATGTGACGCTGTTCTAATCTACACGACTAAAAATTTGCATGAAAAGCAGATAAAATTTGAAAATGTAAATTCTCCATTATGCAAATGACAGCAACGTCAGTAATTCAGTCTATAAAGATAAGGAGAGAAAATCTAAGGACATTCTAGCTGAGTTCAACATATGTCTGATTTTGCTTACCATATGTTACTTGTGGAGTGGTTTTTTACCTTCATCAATCGTATGCAACTACCACATGAGTTCAGAAGTCACAGCAACCTATGTAAAGGCCTCCTGTCAATTAATGTATTGAAAGACATGATTCAAAAATTTGATGACACAGAATATCATATTTAGGGATCTATTCACTTTATGTTATTCCAGAAATTCTGGCTAATTACTGGCTATTCCATTAATTAGAAGAACTCCCCTACACATAAAATAGAACAGCCAATTATAATATGAAGTTGGTCTTCATATAAATCCTCACTTAGTGTTTGCTACAAAATTAACAACAGTAGCTTATTCTAGGGCTCACTTTCACATATTCCAAGAATGCATTTTCAGGTGCTTTTGATCCTTAATTTCCAGGTAGCAAGTTTGAGAACAGTTTGTAACTCGATAATCGGTTGTAACTTAGAAGGTAGTAAATTTGTCTGAAACTGACACCCATCATTCATTCTCACCTTTATGCATTTTTTAATTAATACAATCAAATTTTTATTATTGTTTAAGTCAGTTAGTTTTTATAGTTATTAGTCACTATCAAAAACATATCCATGTAAAAACAATTTCCTTCAAAATGAATATATATGTCATACAGATGTAAATATAAAAATGCTACCATATAGAAATAAAAGTGATAATTCTTATAAAGGCATACATATAATGACCAACTTACTTTTTATATATTTTGTAGTTTTTGAGTTTTGAAGACGATGAAACAAGAGAACAAATATCTGTGTTAAGTACTCGTCCAAAGTATTTCTGCAAGATAAAAATTATTATATATACTGCTGTCATTAAAAAATGTATACATTTACCAGCTTTAAAGTAATGCTCCTAAAATTAAAATTAATACTGAATACATAATTATTTTAGGTTACTTTTATACATACATACACACACCCCAGACACTCACATATATATATATATATATATCTGATCACATGAACACGCCTATATATACATATATGCAAGAAATTTCAAATGAAAGTACCCCATTTCAGTGCCTTTTCGTTGGAAATTAAAAAGCAACAAAGTTAGTGAATATGCATTGCTCATCAAAATTAAAGGGTACAGTCAAAAATAAAATTTAACTGTTACACACAGAAAAATGATTAAAAAATTTATAAAAAAAGAATTATTTCACATAAGTTATTCTTAAAATATTGAATTTAAAGAAAATTAATGGAAATTTAAAAAATGATCTTCCCTGTTTGGCAACCAGTCTTTCTTCAATATTGTACATAGGTAACCTTTAATAGAAATGCAAATATTATACTTTGATTTCAGAGAATTTATGAAATTGTGGAACAAGTCTTATTAAACTGCACACTATATACTTGCAATAGATGAAAATAGAAGAAATTATTAATACATCACAGACGAAATCAGGATTGCAGAACAGGGTCCACATGTGTTTAGCTTACTTTAGCTAGTCAAAGGAAGAATATCTAGCTTGAAAACTGCTGCAAATCCCTTAGCATCACTATGAAAAGTTAAATACAAACTGTTTCAAAGTGATGTCAAAAACTTACCAAGGAATTCATATTTCGTTATTGGCCTTAAAATACAAGAAAAAGCAACTAAAATGAATAACAAGAGTATGAAACTGGACTGAAGGCATGTGAGAAAAGTCATGCAATAAGGAATCATGCTATATACAAGTTCATTACAATAAATAGCAGCAAATTTGAAAAAACAGACAGGCCAAACATTATGTGGGTCAATGCACATGAATAGGTTAGTAAACTCGTATTAACAGATGTTCATATGAACTCCATGAAGCACAAGAACTGTCTTTACAGCAGTAATTAATTCTTTGAATTAATAAACAGGTACACTGCTAAAAAAAAAATGGGACAGTGCTATATCTCCCGTTCTACTGGGGCGATTCACGAAATTCAAATTGCGTTCTTCATGTCTCGAAAGCGCGACTTAGGATATATATTAGATTTATATATAGCACTATTCTAACATAGGTATTTTGACACAAAATCGGACTTTTTCTGAAATAACATACCAATTTTTTTACATATTTCGATTCTACAACTCAAATTATGCCAGAATACCAAGTTTTGTAAAAATCGTACAAGTAGTTTTTGAAATATTAGCTCTCAAAATTTTAGCTCCTCAATGTTAATTGAATTTGGCAAATATTTATTTATATATCTTTTTTTATTAAACTTTTTTGATTTTTTCTCTCACATTTCGAAATTTAGGTTCATTCCAAATAAAATTTACCCATTTTTTGTGTTTTATTTTTTAAATTTCTATTTTTAAATAATTTTTATAAATTTTTTGAAAGAAATTTTGAATTATAACCTATAAAATTTTTACAATCATCTTAAAGTAGGTATATTTTTAAGCATTATCTGCAAAAAATTAGACTTTTTTATTCAAAATTTTCTAAGATATACACAAATTTACATATTTTCACGTTTTGAAATTTGGCATCTTTTTTTTGAGCGATAATAACGCCAAATGTGGTCTATGGATTTTTGTACACTGTATTGCCACAGCTATTTTTAACCTTAAATTTCAAGTAAAATTTTACGGAGAATTAATTATATGACATTTTTTCCCTCAATGATGCGTAATAAATATTTATTAATACTATATGAAAAGCTATTTTTATAAATAAATTTTTTTAATATTTTTTTTAAATTTCTCTATCTTTTTTTTTTTTTTTTTTTTTTTAATAAGAGTAAATTTTTGTATGAGTAAATTTTTTACCTTCGGCGTTTTATCATCTGCTACTTTACTTCGATTAAATCGAATTGTCTAAAACTGAGAATTTTCGTCTGATGTTTATTTGAATTTTATGACATTAACTGCACAATTTATTTCTAAACAAACTGATGCTTTTCAAGTGGCTGAAAGAGCGACTGGTACTATCATCCCTATTTTTAAAGCACAGTATATTTTTATAGAAACATAAGATTCAGAATAATCATTTTTATAAAAGTCAAATTATGATATAAATATACAACCCTCTAGAAACTGAATTAATGGAAGTTCAATGGTTATGTAGAAATGATCTGCAGCTACTTAATCGCTGGATAAGTCAGCAGATTCCGTGGACAAGTAAGAATAATTATATAAACGACACCCAACATTCTGAATTAAATTAACAACGAGGATACGATGTTTATTAAATGAATTCAAGAAGTTTTAAAACATAAAAAATCAACTCATTTTTTTATCCTAAAATGTATTTTTGTGAGTAGCGTATTTTCATTATTCTAATTTAAAATTCTAATAATTCTTAAAATTCTAATTTAGAATGTAATTGTCAAGAACTGATTCCTAATCATCAGTAATATAATAAGTAATTATTACGGTTATTAATAAATCCTTCTTATAAAGTAATTGCAAATATTTCAAAAAACTTTCTGTCTGAATGCAAATATTTTTCTGTGCAAATATTTTTAATTTTATATTAATCAAGATTGCACACGATATTATTTATTTGCGCTTCAATTCTTAACATCAGTTCTAGTAGAAGTTACAAATCAATTATATTTAATTAAGGATTGGATTATTTAATTATGGCAAAGCACACGAGGGCTATCTGCCTAAAGGGAGGGATGCCTTCGTGGACGACTTTCTAACGTTACACATAGGGAAAACCACGAAAACACCCATGCAACCAGCCTGTTCGCGGGATTCGAACCTCGGACCGAACTACCAGTGATCAGCGTCTTTACCGCTCGGCCGTTTGTGGGCCTTTATGAAATGGAAGGCGATAACTTTATTTAAAATGATTGTCAGAAATACCAAAATGTTTTGAAAAGTTGGATACTTTTTAATATACTTTCAGAATGCTTAAAGAAAAAGAGAAGAAAAATAAATTTTTTCGTAAAATTTAGTATTTGTTTTTTTTTTTTTAATTTAAAATAAAAACTTTTCAATGTTATGATATTTGATTCTTGCGATTTCAAAAATAAAATATTTTACTAAAATATGAATAACATTTTAAGAAACCAAGTGTAGGATAAAATTGTGTAAAGCAATGGGCACAATGATAAAACTGTTTAATGCAGTGTATGCAAGTTATCCTAAGTTAAAATGTCGGTTATACATCTCTCTTATTTATATATATCTTTTCTGAACGGAACATTGAAAGGCGTGTAAAACTGTGCTTTACTGTATTTTCTCTTTTAATATAGTATGCAGTTTTCAAACTCATCGTAGTCTGGGTTACAAAGTATTCTTCCGAAAGAAACGCAGTTCAAATAAATAAAATCAAATTCTGGAAAATTGATATTAATAAATATATTTAATATGCTCAGTTTGAAGAAATAAATAGAAAATTTTAAAACAATTATCTGAAGAGACAATGCAACACAAACAATTAAAATAAAAGTATAAAAATTACCTAAAATAATAACTATGACGAAAAATATATATAAAGAAAAACTATTTAAAAAAAAAATAAATGCTGCACCTTTATTTACGCAGTTCGAATAGGTAAATAGAAATTTTTAAAACAGTTATTCGAAAAAAAAAAAAAAAAAAAAAAAAAAAAGAGAACGTGCAACTTAAACAATTAAAATGAAATTCGAAAAAGAAAAAATTACTTAAAATAATAAGTTATAATTAAAAATATAATATAAAGAATATTATTTGGAAAAAAGGAACGATGGTGACTTTTTTTTCTCTCATGGGAAAGGAAACTAGGTTGCCATATATTAAGAAGTTCGCCAAGTGAAGTATTCTTGGCGCAAACTGACAAAAAAGTGCCAACATAAATTTGTGAATTTCTCCGTAAATTTCGCTCCAAATTTTACAAAATTTCATATTTAGGCATAATTTGAGTCGTAGAATCGAAATATGTAAAAAAATTGGTATGTTATTTCAGAAAAAGTCCGATTTTGTGTCAAAATACCTATGTTAGAATAGTGCTATATATAAATCTAATATATATCCTAAGTCGCGCTTTCGAGACATGAAGAACGCAATTTGAATTTTGTCAATCGGCCCAGTAGATCGGGAGATATAGGACTGTCCCATTTTTTTTTTTTGAGCAGTGTACCTGTTAAAAGCATACAATCACAGACACATACATTGAGAAACACGATCCTCAACATAAATGTCTACTGTAGATCCTAAATTTCTTCAGTATCTATCTTACCGAACAAGCAGAGAATAAAAGGGATTTGGATGTTATCATCAAAAGTTGCTTAAATGAAGATATAGTGAAAATCATTACAGCAAGAACGGATAATTATGTCCACCTTACGCCCTCTGTGTTACACTGCATATGATCAGTTATCTGTCTAGGTTGTTCCACAAGGTATGAGATATATACAGAAATTTTTGGATGATCTGATTAAGAGCAAATGCATGCTATATGTTACTTTTGTAACAAAATGAAGTAGACATTAACAAAGTCAACACTTACTGAGGGACATTTTCAATTAGCCTCTGTAAGATATAGAAGCCTTCATGGTCATTTGCTTTTGAAGCAATAAGTTTTTGAAATACTCCTAAAACACCACTCTGTAATTAAAACAAATAATTACATTTTACTTTAATAATTAAAATTTTATGATGCATATAAATCTTGCACTTCAACAAATGGAATTTTAAATTAAAAATATAAATGTCTTTAATTATGAAATAAAAAGAAACATTTATGCATAGCTTTCTTTTTTCTTCTTGTGAACTAAAACTGAGATCAGAATCTTCTCTATTATAGAACATCTTGGTAAAATTTTTCTGAACATAAAAATATTCATTTTTTTTTCAATAAACAGAGTTAAAATAGAATAGCACATTTTTAAAAACCTTTTACTAGCACTATATTAGCACACACATATATGTATAAAGTATTAAAAGGAATACAGCAATACATTTTATTTAAGGATGATCACCACAAAAGAATGTCAACTACGATCTGTTGAAATACGTTTTTCCTTTGTATTCAGGTACCTCCATATGAATTTAGATAAAAAAAAGAATGAAATAAAGTAAAACTAATCAGAAGCATCAAATTTTCACTATCTGCATTAATAAGAAAGAGCTGGAGAATGAAACACATGAACTTAAAAAATATATGGTATTGAAGAATTGGGAAGCTTCACACAGAATGCACTTAAAAATAAAATAACTATACAGTTTTATTATGTCAACCTAAAAATAAAGGAACTAGAAATAAGGATGATTAATCCCAGTTATATATATATATATATATATAGTATTTAAAATGTGTATATATATATATGTAAGAAAAACAAAGAATACATAAAAGATTAAATTAGCAGCATAAATTTATTTCTCTTCTTTATTCTAAAAAAAGCAACATCTATTTGCATTGCGTCATTTCGAGAAAAATCTATGTCATATGACTCTTACATAATTCTGGTGATGTAAAATGAACTCAAGCAGCCAATAATAATTTTACAGCAATATTAACTATTCAATCAAAATGCTTTGAGAAACAAAACTAACTCAGTTTGACTTAAGATTTTATTTTGAACATTACGCACTTGCTTTCCACACTTTGGCCTAGCTACACTGCTGTCTGTCTGCTTCTTCTTTTTTGCAACAAATATATAAAAATGTAAGCCTTTTGGAACAGGCACATTTAATGCATCGACTTGTGTGTAGCCGCTACATGTTGCTGAAAATAAAACTGAAGATTTAATCTGTCTTTGCCTTCCATTTCCTAATCATTATGGGTCATCTAGGCATTCAAAATTCCAATTTCCTGGTCATTGCTTCCGAGTTTGAATTTATTACAACTTGGTTGTAATAAATGAAGAAAGAAATGTTTTTATATCAAACCATGCCATTTTTTCTTCACACTATTACACAAATGTTTGAAATTCTGAAAGCAGTTATCAGTTTCAGCACTTTCTTTTCTCCGCCAACAAGACAGCTGGTCCGCTTACGACAGGTGCTTGTCAGCCTGTTAAAGACCCATCAACAACTAAAATTATTTCTTAGTGTCTGGGATCCAGTTCCACAAACTCTATCTCAGAAGATATAGGAAAACATGTAGTAGACGAGAAGACATGTGAATATTGTTCTGTGTAAGTACCGAAAATATGGAAGGCAGATTGACATGCAACCATGGCACTACAGCAGGCATTATAGCATAGCTCCAAATTGTTAGAAATGAGAGGTGAAATGGTGAATGAATTTGATAATTCCTTAATACGATCAATAGCATATAGATTACTAAATGTGCCCAAGCGTAGCAGCGTTCATTAGCTGGTTTCCAAAGGTGAAATCTGGCTGGTTCCATGCAACTGATCTCAGTCCACAACAGTACTGCAAATGCATTGATCACTGTCACAAAGTTTGAAGCAGTTTAATAATTCAAATAAGGGCCATGACCAGTGAGGAACTGAATTAACTCTACTGTTCTGCTCTGAGTTTCTTGCTGACTCTAGAGATGTATTTGAACACTCTTCTTCCTGTATAGTCTTCATTCCATCTATTCTACCATTGTTCCATGGAGTTGGCAATTTGTTACAGTCTTCATATCCAAGCTACGGGCTTGCATGAAAAAGGTTCTAGTGTTTGGGTTTATGGCTGCTTGCTTTGTTATTTTATCGAATCTTTCATTACTGAAAACCCCAGTAATAGCATGAACCCATTCAACTTTTGGTCTCATGTTCTCTGGTAAGAAGGGCAAAGAAGTCTCTGAATCTCTTTCACTATTTGGATTTTGCATTGTCGACCCTTGATGGCCTGGAGACTGAGTCGCTATATATTGTTAAGGGCTGTTTTGTCTGGATGGAGAATGGTATGGCTGCTCTAACAGCAATTAGCTCGGCTTTAAAGAATGAATTGTCAGGACTTAGCCTTTGTGACCAAGTCTGGATTGCATTGTACCCTAGTATTTCACAAAAACTTCTGCCTATACCTTGCTCTCCTTTGAAGCCATACAAAGCCCGATTTTCCAGTGCTGCAAAAGGTTTCAGTTCAACTTGAATGTTAAGTTCTGCTGGGTGCCAGGGTGTTGATGTGATATTTGAATCATTCTCTCCGTGAAAGTAATCACAGTTCTATAGTGTTGTGTTACATTTAAATCTCTGTGTTCGAACCACTGCACATTCACTTTGTATCATGAGATGAAGTGGGGGTATCCCGCGAACACATTCAAGACATTAGTGGAGGATGTGCCGAATCCGCGACTGATGCTTAGTAAAAAATGGTCGGTGCGTCAATCTAAGTTGATTTATCATATGCATGTTCATATGCGAGCCGCACACGGAGGCCCCGTGCAATGCTACTCTTTCTGCTACTAAGGAATACGAATCTTAAGTATTTGCGAGGATACCCCCATTGGGATACTCTTGTTTTGAACACTGAATTTGATAATTTAGGCAGACTTTGTTTAATGTAGGAAATGTGCCAGGTGAGCCTGTCACCTCAGCTTATTTTAATTCCTAGGATATGACTATATCTACCTTCAGTAGTTTATCACGACCCTGCATTTTAGCTGGTGAAATTATGAGCTTGTGATCTATTGCCCAGTTGAGAAATTTATCCACCACACATTTCATATTCTCGTCTGCTGCGAGCTCTGGCTGGCAAGCAATCATCCGCATATGCAAGTATTTCGAAGTTGTTGTCATTGAAGAGCCCAAGAGCAGACGCAACTATGAAGTTCCAAAGAAATGCCTTTATCTGTTGTGGCATTTCTTTCTGTGTAAAGAGAGTTAAGATTTAGTTTACAGCTACCTAAGTGTTGGGTCTGAACATACCCGACACTGAATCTTAACGTGCTTTAGGGCATTACATGTCATTCAATCTGTTTAGAACATCATGCCACCACAACGAGTCGAAGGCGCTCTGAATATCAATTGAAATAATTAGTGAGTGCATTTTTTCTCTTATAATGAGCATGACTGTGTTAAGAAAGTGATTTAAAAGCATGGTCCACAGACTTTCCTGCAATGAAACCATATTGGCAGCTGTTCAGTGGTCTCTAGCTTGTTATACAATGCTGTAGTGTCAGAAGTATAATTCTTTCCAGCACTTTAGTATGCGCAGGTAATAAACAGATCGGCCTGTATGATGATGCTGCATTAGGGTTCTTCTGCCTTTTTAAAAGTAGGATTACTTCTGCAATCTTTGCGCTGGCAGGAAAATGTCTCACCATCCAGCATGCCATAATGTAGGCGAACAAAAGTGCAGAATGAGTGTTAAATGTTGCCTGAATGATACTATTATCCATAGCATCTGGACCTGCGGCCTTGTTAGATTCAGAGCTCTGATAACACTGTTGAGCTTTTTATTTGTCAAAAATGGCTGTAAATCTGGTAAACTGGACTGAAATTATTGGAAGACTTCTCTCTGTGTCAGGGTGTCGTCCACTGCAGTGTCTCGTTTGAAAATGCTATTATGGATATGGGCAGTGACTTGTACGGTGGAGTTTACTGAATTGTAGCAGCGAGGCTGGTTGACTTGAACACTTTGTCATACGTGATTTTAAAGGCCACACCATATTTTTTAAGCATTGTGATACAGAAGTTTTGCTATGAGGCAAGTTTAGCTTTGATAATGTGACACTTATAGGCAGCCCTGTACCTTTTAAAAGTCATGGCTGAACAGCTCTTTTCTCAGAAATGTAGCATTTTTGCATTCAGCCTTAGGGCATGTACTTTGCTCGTTCGGCTGTCGGCTGATTATTACAACAAGGTGTTTTATTGCCGATAACAATTTTGTGGTGTTTTTAGACTTGATTGCATGTAGTGAATGATATTTATAAGGCTATCATGGAGCTTGTCTAACTCTAATCTATTATTGCAGCTGCACTGTGCTACCAGGCTTTGCACATGTGGAGCTAGAGCATTGCCAAAGCAATGGAGAGTAATGAATTTCACCTTCCATCTAGTATTAGTGACCTGCTGTGAGTCTCTATATACTTTCAACTCGATGAAATGATGATCACTGAGCGAGGGATGTTGACTAATTGCCCAGTCATGAACTGAAGAATAAATGCTAGTTGTAGCTGAAGTTATGTCTGGCCACCCTTGGGTCCCGATAGTTAAGCAGGTTGGGGTACTATTGCTTGAATTAATTACAGCTAAGTTATTTGATGCAATGGTATTGTTCGTTGATTTTCTGCTGGGGCTTCCCAAAGCAGGCTGGCAGCATTGAAGTTGCCAGCAATTATTTTGTCTTTCACAGTGAAAGTCAATATTTGAAATATTTCATGATAATAGTCAATCTGTGAGTGCTGACATGATCTCATGACAGGAGGAAATATACACACTTGCTACTAATAGACAAAAATTGGGACCCTTCAAACTGCACAGTCACCCTCTCATAATAACAGAGGAGTGATTGAGCCATTATACATGATAGCTGCTAAATTGCTAGTTACTTGGAAGGTCTTAAGCACATTCAGACTGGAATTTTTTTCATTTATAGCATTCTTGCTATATCAGACTGTTGTTGCAGAATAATTTGGGCAGCATTGTCATCTTCGCAGATTACACTACAGTATTTTAAGGCTAGAGGATGAGCTACTGTTTTCTGCACTACATGTTGCGATCTTCAGCCAGTGAAGTTCGGCTTTGTACGATGGACACATTCTGGTGCTTGCGGTGAGAATCAGTTCAACTGCTGTGCCTTTTTTCTTGTTGCTCTCCTTAATGTTTATGTAGTGGGGTATTTGCACTGTACACTTGTCAGCGGTATTAGCTTGCCCACAAGTGACACATGCTGGTGTTGATTTGCAAAAGTGGCTCAATTGTCCTACTCTTTGGCAGCTGAAGCACCTGAGGATTCTAAAAAAAGGACAGAAGGCACAGGAGGTGAATCCAACAAATACTCTATGATGGTCGGTGTTGACACTGACATACAAGTTAGAAAATTCACCTTAATGACCGAATTTTTGACCTCAAAAGTATTGGTTATGACCTTAAAAGCAGATGCACTTGCTGGATATTTTATGCAAAATGGATGGGATATATACAGGGGTTGGACAAAAATATGGAAACATCTTTAGAAAAACATGTTTCTTTGCTTAATATGGTGTAGGAAACCCGTTGGCATCCAAAACAGCTTGCAGTCTTCTCGGAATGGATAAGTACAGTTCCTGTATGTTTGCCAAGGGAATATTATACCATTCTTCCTGCAAAACGGTGGCAAGTTCAGATAACGATGTTGGCGGTGGATAACGAGAACGCACTTTCCGTTCCAATGTAGACCACAAAGGTTCGATAATATTCAGGTCTGGTGACTGTGGTGGCCAGGGGAGATGGGACAACTCATCCTCGTGCTCAGAAAACCAGTCCTGGACAACATGAGCTGTGTGAACAGGGGCTTTGTTGTCTTGGAAGACACCATCACCATCGGGGAACAAAGTTTACCATGGGATGAACTTAATCGGCCTTAAATGTTCACATAAGTCTTGGCAGTCATGTGCCCTGACACAGTTATCATGGGGCTAGCAGAGAACCACGATATGGCTGCCCAAACCATAACAGAACCCCCGCCATGTTTCACTCTTGGCAACAAGCAGTCTGTATTATAGGCTTGAGATGGTGTTCTCCAGACGTAAACTCGGCCAGAAGTGGGAAACAATGTGAAAGAAGACTCGTCAGACCATATTACTCGCTTCCACTGCTCTATAGTCCAGGCTTTATGACTTAAACACCACCTTTTCCTGTTACGGGCATTAGCATCACTGATGAGTGGCTTCTCAATTGCAGCACGGCCAGCAATTCCCTGTTTATGAAGTTCCCTTCTAATTGTTTTGGTACTCACAGGGTTCGGTAACACATTCATTTCAGCAGCAACTTTTGCAGCTGTGGTCTTCTTTATTTTTCGTCACAATCGCCCTTAATGATCGTCTGTCACGATCACTCAGGACACACTTTCGTCCGGGCTGTGATTTAGCAGATGATGTTTTTCCGCTTTTCAAATATGCGGAATAAATCTTCGATACAGTACCTCTTGAAACACTAAACACCTCGGCTACCTTGCTTACGGAAGCACCTACCATACGTGCTCCAACAATTTGCCCACGTTCAAAGTCTGTTAACTCTGACATAATGCAATCTCACATAACAGTACTCCGACAACAACTGAACTGTTTAGCACATTTACGAAGTTGTATAGGTGGCGTCAGTAGTCAAAAACACCAGCGCCACCTACATATTTCATTAAAATCAATCTTTCTTTTCAAACATGCATTTTACAAGGTGTTTCCATATTTTTGTCCATCCACTGTATTTTGATAGCTCTAACCAAAATTTCAGTTCTAGAAGAAATTATCCAACATAATTTATCACAACTGACAATCTGCATTAAAGAAAAAAACTGGCCTTCTGGGTCAAAATGTTCCCTTACCACACTGGAAATCTGAAACTGTATTTTCACCTCTTACAAAAGAAGCAGTGCCTAGGCACCCAGTATACTTTTAACAGCTCAAGCTATAGAAGCTCATGAATGATTATTCAGATTTTCACTGAAAGATGAATCTGTTTTACATGTTGGCAATACATCATTATCTATTTTAAAAAATCGGACATTCTACAGATAAAATAATGACCATTCAAATGTTTTACTGAGGCAAAAATTCTCACCATTACATTTTGACAGAAGTCTTCAATAAGTTTCACTATTTTTAATGCTTTTAATTTACAAGATATATCATTAAAACACACCAATCCATGTTAACACTCACAGTAAATGAGTTTTTTTTAAATTTTGAATTCTACATACTCTCTCTCTCTCATTTGCATGGAAGTAAAAGAATTTGTTATTTTAGTCTAATGCTTAAGAGATGATGCAGAAATAAATAATTAAAGTATCTGTTCTAGATTGTACTGAATGCAGTTTCAAGAAATGACAAATTAAGTAAATTTTACTTTCATCAAAGTGGCTTAAAAGCTCCCCCCCCCCTGGAAAAAAAAAAAACCCACCCAGTTGCATCTTTCCGTTTTTGAGCCATCAAAGTGTCATGGGAAAATAGTTCTCAGCGAGCTTGGGCTGGCAGACTTCATTATGTTATAGCACATTACTGCCTGATGCACAAATAATATATTGCATTTGTCTTGAAAATTCTTTTTGGAGAGTTCTGTAAATCAAAAACTGTGGGATGCTGAATCAGTCAATGAGGAAATTGCACATTTTGAGTATAAAAAGTATGTTTTCCCATCAAACTGTTTGCCCAAACTGTATGTTTTGTAAATCAAAAACTGTGGGATGCTGAATCAATCAATGAGGAAATTGCACATTTTGAGTATAAAAAGTATGTTTTCCCATCAAACTGTTTGTCCAAACTGTATGACAGTATTTGTTTTTATATATTTTATCACAATTACATTTTTTAAAATTTTTTTATTTTTGCTAGAAGTGTATTTTGAAAATTTTAAACACCTTATTTCTTAAATTTTCAAATATTTTGGGGAAATAGCAAACCACTGAATATGGACGAATGAGTGAATTCCACTTACTAGACCAAAAGGGGGAGAAACAACTTCTTTTGCTACCCCCCCACAAATAACAACGAAAATTTGCCATAAGCTTAATACAAATGAAAAACATTACTTGCGAGGAATTAAAATCAAATTAAAATATTATTCTGACACATTTCTTTTTTCACTACTATTCTATCTACTGAAATCAATATAATTTTTTACACTATTCGACAGTCTGAGTTTCAAAATACAAATGCATCACAAGTTTTCCCCAACTAATAACTTTATATAAAAAGATTAAATTTATTTAAATTATCTATTTGCATATCTTTGGCTTATATAATATAGCATAACCACAACTATTAGCTGAAGCTTACGTACATTAATAATAAAAATACAAAAAATAAATAAATGGAAATTACCAGTTTTTGAGTAGCAAGAATTTGTTGCATTCCTTTATCAATGTATGCTTGTAAAAGCCTACTAAGGGCAGGAATATTCCCTATTCTTTCCCATAGAACAGGAGACAAAAGGCAAGGGAAAAGTGCCATGTAATGATTAGGCACAGGAGATTCTTGGAACTCGAGGAATAATGACAGAAGTTGAAAAACGTATGGTACAAATTCTAAAATAAAAAGTTCATATTATAAAACTATTTATTCATTATCTAAGTGACTACAGTACAAAGTCCAGAATTTGGATGTTCAATATACAGGCCTCTAGAGCAGGGCTTCTTAAACATTTTTCAGTCGTGAACCCAGGACCCCATAAGCATTGTGAAATCTGACACACAAGTGAGTGAAGCTGTCAATTTTTTCGCTTCACCGTACTATTGCAGTTTTAGATCACTAACTTTAATTTCTAATTTTAAGGCATAGAACAATGTGAAAATTTTAAATAAGTAACAAATGATAAAATGACAGCGTCACGTGCAAAGCAAAATGAACGTTTATGTTGTAAAAAGAATGCATCGATATGTTTTTGTTTTTTTCTTTGTCTGTATTGTCTTATCTATTTTCAGATGCATTGTTTAAAAATATTTATATTTGGTAATTGTGAAATTATTATAGTAAGTTAAAGAAATATTAAAATTGCTAAAATTTTTGCCGACCTCCTGCTGCAGCTCCCACGACCCACAGTTTAAGAAACTCTGCTCTAGACAAGTAGCCAAATAAACAAATAAAAAATAAAATAATAAAAAATCCCCTTCCCTACAAAGTCTAGGAATGGAGATTATAATGAGAAGAAGCAGGTGTACCTAAACATGATGTTTTCCCCCCTGGACTAAGATATTTCTGCATGTTATTTTGAGACACCTCTGGCTACAGTGTGGAATGCACTAAATGATGTAGATCAGGATAGCACTTTCAGCCCCTGAATGGTTTTGTGTGTGTAGAGGGGGGTCAGGCAGGATCGATGCAGTGCATTTTGACAGCTGGTGCAATCTCTGCAGATCCTAAATTCTGCTGCTTGGTACCTTCCTAAATACTAAAAGTTCTACTACCCCTATTTTTGTTACTTAGTGCACCTCTAAATTCTGAAATTTTTGGCACTTCTAAATTGAGAATTGAATTCACCTGTTAGTTATACCTGCTCTGGAGTCAGCCTTTTTCTATATGAACTAAAAAAAAGAGTGTAGTACCAGTTTTGCCGTGTCTACATGTCATCTTATTAAATTTCAAACTGGTGATTTAAAATACGGAAATTTCCGAAATCCAGTATCACCAATTCAGATCTTCGACTATGTACTGTATTTAAGCAATTTAATGATACAAGTACAAAAGTAACAAGAACAATTTTTTTCATTTATTTTTGTGAATGCAAATTAATCAAAATGTGAAGCAATCTTAAGATCAAATTTAACTACAATATATTGCATTTTAATGGAACAAAGTATAATGGTTAGTGTTATTTATAGGTTTACACAAATTCATTATATATTTCACACCAGCAATCAAAATTTTATTCTTGAAAAGAATTTACATTTTCATTCACGTTTGCATACTACAAAAATTTATACGAAGTAAGTGTGAAGACTGTGATGCTTATTAAATAAAGCTCAAATGGGGGGAAAAAAAATCTTATTAAGAAAACAGAACATGATATAATGAATTGAGAATAGATTGTGAAAAAAAATGGCTACACTTAATATTCTATTGGGAATTTTTAATATATGCTGCTTTTAAAAATTTTGTGAATTCGAAACACTACATGACCAGAGGATATACTACACTTGTGATATTAGCTACTATATATATTTTTTACACTAAATTTTGTCTAGCTTTTATCGCTTGCTGACCAAAGTCAAGATAGAATTTTATTACTTTAGTTATTTATTATGCTTATACCTACTTCCTGCACATGCTCAAGTCTCATTCAGGGCCAGTGCAAATATTTTGCAGCCCAGAATAGTTTCTGTGGCTCTTAAATTCTGTTGTCAACTGCTTGACTAAATTCTAAAAATTTTGCATTTCAATGCTCTCTCTAAATTTGAAAGATTTTGCCATCCTTAATATTATTGCTTGGTGCTTCTCTAAATTCTAAAAATTTTCCTTTCCCTAAATTTTGTCACACCAGCTTTGGCACCTGTCCTGTGCTTATCTGAATAACAAATCAGTACAGCACTAAATGTAATCTTTTCGCTTATATGTATCACTTATAAAACCTATTTTTTTTGCATATAGAACAAAATTTCTGTTAAACTTCTCCTCTTCTTCCTTTTCCTGCATTATTTATTTCTCAAGCTGCTGTTATTGATAGTCATGGGGTGATGAAATCTAAAATATAAAAAATAACAATTTTTCAGGTTTGTGTAAGTGACATATATTATTCAGTAGGTGTTTCCTGTTTAAAATGTATGAAGCAAAAAGATGACTATGGAGCCAAATTAATTCCATGGAGTTTGGAATTTAGACTTTGCACTACATATGGCATTTTTCTAATGTGTAATAATGATCAGCATATCAGCCCTACTGGAAATGTGGCAGCCCTAGGCCAGTGAATTTTTTAATAAATCTTGCTAAAAAAACCTAAATATCTTTACTACTAATGTATTTATACATATCTATTTAATTCTGCTTTTTTAAGAAAGTATTCAGAGCTACATTTCTTATAACTGTTACGTTCAACAGATAAATGATATAACAACTTAATAAAGTTTGTCTCTATTATTTATTACTTTCTTTAGTAAAATATTTCACTTATTTTCTGGAATAATCTAAAAATCACTCTTATGATCTGTTGAAACTTAAGACTATTTTATTTATTGAGTCAAAACAACTAATAAGCACAGGGGGTTGGTAACTTATGACCAAGCTTGGCTTTGACTGGCCAGTTGTATCTCATTCTCAATAAAAAATAATTAAAAAAATTAAATAAACTGCTACATAAGTACAAGTTTATTTACAGCAGAAAATTACATTCTTAACTGTTTGCACTATGGCTAGCAGAAACCAGATTGTCATCAATTATGTTTGTTGCTGTGGCTGCACCTTCTAGTTCTAGGCATTTCTCTGTAAGAAACTCTTTCTCTGTTGCTCTAGCATTTTTGTAAGTATTGTTAGTTCAAGCTGTTTGGTTTTACTTTTCATCTGAATTTTACAATACAAATGTAAAACTTTGCCATTTTTTAAATATATATACTCAAAATATTTTTTTTTTTTTTTTTTTTTTTTTAAATTCAGAAGGAATTTTATTTAAAAATTACATAAATAAAAAGACTCAAAAGCTACCTTGAATATCTTGTTGTAAAATGTTTTCAAATATTGGAAATAAAGCTTCTTCAAACTTTAAAACTGCAGATTTATCATTTCTGCAAACTATCCGGACAGACAAGCTGAAGGTTTCAAATAAATAGTGATTGAAGTGTGGCTTGCTCGGATTCTATATTAAAATTTAAAAATAAATATATAAATACATACACACACACATGCACTATACATTAATACAATTTAGCTGTTTTATGTACATTGAGAATCGGGCTACATTTATTACGCACAAAGATATAAAGTCTTCACACACACATAAATATAAACTTAAAGCATCTAAAGTTAATATTAAATTGGAATCAAAGCAAGGCAATTCCTCAGCGATATTAATAATTGCACCCATGCATAAGAGGTTTAACACAATATCTAAATAAAACAAAATTAAAATAAGAATTCCTAGTTGAACAAGCTTGAAAAATAAAAATGCACAAAATTATAAAAATTAATCTCCTTTTACTGAAACTCATCAGGAAATTCAATTCAGAACTCATCAGGGGAAAATGAATTAAAGGCTTCAAAGTCGATTATATGTTTCGTTCTCCTGGTTCATTTGAGATCAACAACCAAAAAAAGATTTAATTAAAATTTCATTTAAAACCAAAAAATCGAATCCCAAATGTACCAGAAATTTTACTTCAATTTCTTGAGATTTGATTTTTTGGTTTTTGATCTCAAATGAACCAGGAGAACTAAACATGTTTTTGAAACATATTAATAATCAACTTTTATAAAGCTTTAATTCATTCTCCCCTGATGAGTTCTGAATTGGAGTTTCAGTAAAAGGAGATTAATTTATATATTGCATAATTTCCCTTTCACATTTTTATATTTCGAGTTTGTTCTATGAATTCTTATTTTATTTTGTTTAAATACTGTGTTAATGCCTTATGTACATTTGCAATTATTAAAATTATAGAAGAATTGCCTTGCTTTGATTCCAATTTAATATTAACTTTAGATGTTTTAAGTTTATTTTACTTCAATCCTTCAGCTACGGAACAGGACAGGTTTTTTAAAAAAATTTCTTTTTAATTTTTAGTTTATTATTATGTTTCTTGTATATATAATTTTTTTTTTTTTTTTTTTTAATAAGACATTTTGTTTTGCTATACTTTTATTCTAAAATTAGAAAGGGTTTTATAATTGGGTATCTTGATAAACAAAGTATATATAGATATAAGCAAAAGTTCTCATCCGCATCCCACTGAAACCACTGGTCACAAACATATACCTCCAATTACAAAAATGGTTTACATGATGCAAATATTAATATTTCAGCAATTTTAAATAAAAAAACCCACTTTTGTAAAATTATGGAATTTAACTTTTTATATGTTCATCTAGGTCCAATTACTTACATCTATGAAAATGTCATACTTATTATAAAAGCACAATACAAAAAATAAGACTTACTACATATTACAAAAATTGACTGAGATATTTAGTTGGGAATCATATTCATAGGCCATACATAAATGTAATATTTGCATTTATACTTAACTAACAATAAAATAACAGTTCAGGAAAAGACTTCTGATGTTAACAGATTAAGTTACCCTCATTTCTGTGCGTATTATTGTGTAAAATATTGTTCATCATTATTATATTCAAAAAAGGCATTCTATTCTGAGAATCTTACAGAATTCTTATTTTAAAAAACACTGGAAGGTTTCAGTATCATCACACTGCCAATACGTAACATTACTTGCACGAAAAGATTTCTATTTAAATTAACTTTAATATGATTTTTACATTGGGATTCTAAAATAAGCATATTTTTAATATTTCAAAACTTAATAATTATTTATGAGAAAAATGCATTCAGCCCATCAGCTGTAATTAAATTATAAATTAGAGAATATTATTCATTAGTAAATCAATGAAGAATATCACTGAATAGCATTAAAGGGGTATCAAAATTGAATATTTCCAATTAATTTATTAACCAATTTCTTAAAGCAAGCTGAAAATGTCAAAAACTGCAAATTTTGAAATTAAATATCTTGTATAATACAAATACATGAATATCTGTGTGTCATTTAAAACATTTTTGTAATTGGAAGTGTATATGTATGACCAAGAACTTTCAAAAATCAGGTAGGAACTTTGTGAACATGATACATATATACTGAAGCTCCCCATTTTGCCAACTTTTGAAGATATATTCTCCAAGGTTGAAATCTCAAAGGTTGAGATACACTGTTCTCAAAGGTTGAAATTTGTTCAGGGGACAAAGAAATTAAAAATATTGAAAATGGTTGTGAAGACCGTTTGAAACAAAAGCCATTATACACCTCTGGCCATTAAAATTGCAACACCAGGAAGGAATGATCTGACGAATGTCAAAATCCATGAAAAGAAGTTGGGATATGCAAATGATAAGTATTTCAGCTTATTTAGACGACGCAGGAGGGAGAAACGACATCTGAAGCGTAGCATAAAAGAAAAGATGTGTGGTGGATTTCCCATTCGGAAAGCACTTTGTAAGGTTGGAATTTGCTCAGAATATCATGTTATGTCTTGAATAATAATAAGAAATGCTTACCAGCAAGTGTTGGAATGCGATAGAGGCAGGATCATTGCCTATCGAGAGTGTGGATTATCGTTCCGTGATATCGCCTGTCACACTGGTCAACATCCGAACACTGTCAGGCGGATATAGGTCATATTGAATGACATACAGGATCTCAATGAACTCTAATGACTAATGCCCAAGAGGACAGACATATTGTAAGGTCAGCCCTGAAAATATGTATAACCACATCACGGACAATTGGTCAGGAAATGGGCATGTTTGCAGCCCGCCTAGTATCCACTCGCATGGTGTGTCAACGTTTGCAGCCGCATGGACTATCAACACGATGACCATTACTTCAGCTTCTCTTGACAATGCAGAATAGAGAGAGACGGCAACTCTGGTGTGACAAAATTACAAAGCTGGATATAGGAGAGGCACAACGTTGTCTTTTCAGACGAGTTCCAGTTCTGTGTGCAGTAATCTGATGGCTGTATATGTGTCTGGAGCCTACGAGAAGATCGCACGTTTCCTGCTTGCATTCACTATCGGAATGGGGCCCTACACTTTGGTTTTGGGCAGCCAATGGGTGCATGACACGCACATCTCTAGTTCTGAATGACGGTAATTTGAATGCAGATTGGTACATTTCTGACATCTCACATCTAGTGGTTGTGCTCTATCTTCGAGCCCTGCCAAACGACATTTTCCAACAAGACAATGCAAGACCACATGTTGCCCCTCATGTTCCGACCTTCTCGATACAAAGGGTATTTGATTGCTGCTCTGGACAGCACGGTCTTCAGCTAATACGGTTGATGAAGTGTGGCATGGATTTGAAGCAGCATGGAATGAGTTACCCATTTCCGTCATATAAGCACAGTTCAACTCCATACTTCACCAGGTAAGAGCTATTTTAGATGGCAAGGGTGGCAGTTGTTTCTACTAATTTCACACCCCTGTAAACCCCAAAACTATTTATAAATTTAATCATTTTATCTTCATGCCATACTGTTTAAGTACAATAAATATCTTTTTTGATTTGCTTTCCTTCATGGTGTTGCAATTTTAATGTCCAGCAGTGTAATAAAAAGACTTGAAAGTGGTGAGAAAATGTTGCACGTTTTTAAATGGTAGGAATATTCAGTGACCAAACAATTCTTATGACTGAAAATCATATATATGAACAGATGCAGCGCTGATGCAATCAATAGTTATCAGGCAAAGGTACAGCACCAATACAATTAATGACTTGATGTACCTTGAAGAGCAACAAAGGAGAAGGCTGCCTGAATTAAAAGTTTTATGCAAAATTAATAGCAGTAACGGTTTCCAAGTTTGAAGTAGGTGTCACTTTTTTTTTTTTTTTTTGGAAAACTGAGATCCAAATTCTGAAAGGCCTGCTAAAGTAAAGTCGGTTGAGGGTTTACGCCTTTATTCCCTCCAGAATTTGATTACTAAATAAATGAAAAATATACAAAACACTATAAATTTTTCAAGGGGAGAAATACAGCAAAATAAACTTGTACTAGTTTAAAAATTAATTTATTTCAACTTACTTTGCTAACCTGACTGAGTTTCAATGTTAATTTAGGTAATAAATCTCCTAAAAATGGAACTACCGCTTCTTGAAGAACTGAAAATGTCCTCATGATAGCTAATTTAAATAAAAATAAGGTATTAATTCCAAATGCTGTGGAGAATGGCATACTAGAAATGATATATTTCCACTTTAAAATAAAATTACTGTATACCTTTCATGATATATTCATTTTCAGAAGATCCTTCATGTTGCAAAGCACCAAAGAGATTGCTCAAAAGACCTTGTGCTATAGGCTGTACATCAGTATTTTTGAAGCTGTAAGAAGGTTCATGCACTGATTATAAAAAGCACTCAATATCAACAGACAAACATACCTTGATAAACTTTCATTTATAATGTAAAATCAGATGGAGAAAAATTTATCTGGTAGATAAATATGGATATGCAAAGAGTAAATCAAGAGAACATTAAAAATTAAGATAGACCTCCTTCTTCAATAAGCAGATTCTCTAAATATTATTTTTGGCCATTTAAAGATGGCAGATCCTCTTGGTAAGAGTTCATCTAAGGATGAATTTTGCCCAATTTTAGAGTCTGCCTCGGCATGCTTTAGGGTTGTGGAGAAATGCTGATTAGAGTAAGAGTTATATATACAAAATCATAAGTAAGAGTTATAAATATACTAAATATATGCATTTTTAGAATTAAAAAAATACAGCATTTCAATGAATTAAAATTATAAAATACAGTTAATAGAACAATATTTGACTTGAAATATGACTTGAGTATTGAAAAAATCATTTCTCAAAATTAAAAACTGATTTAGTTTACTGAAACATTTGATATTCTCACTATATTAAAATAAAAGACATTATTCTTGTAAGATGCATTATGCAATCATAAAATGGTATGAAAAATAGGTAAAGGAATAGATAATTTTTCCAAACTACATTTGAAGGGTTACAACAAACCCTCTCATGGAAATGATCAATATTTCTAGAATATAAGTAAATATCAGTATTATGCATCATTTTACCAAGACCTGGACTGTGGTATTCATCTTATAAAGATTCACAAATAATAAAAAAATCATGGGAATGCAAAGAATGTCAAACAATGAAACATTAGCACAACAGCTCATTTTTGGCCAAATGACCAAAGGCTAAAAAAGCACATCAGGACGCATATTCTATGATCACTGGATCTGTCTACAACTTGAGCGAACAATATTGACTAAAAAAAACCGGTATGGACAACCCATCACAACTTATCGGAGAAAGCCATTCTGTGGTCCTCAGTTGGTGGGCGGGTGGGTCTATTTGACTTTACCGAAAGGGAACAAGGCTTCAAGGAGCTTTAGACCAATCGCAGTACAGACGAATGACGAAATTTATAGCGCGCGCTGGCTGAAGTTCTAGGAATATTCTCCCATTATTTCGCTAACTCACATGCTGCATTTGTAGTTTGAAAAAAATGGCACAAAACAGTATTATGACCAAAACGCAGCAGAATATGCTGCAATGTCATCCGTTTTTTAAGGGGAATGTTAACGCAGGAATTTAGGACTAAGAAATATAGAGTGATATGGGATACCATGAAAGCAACGGTAAATAGATAAGAGTAAATGAATTAAGCTTACTTAAAATCTTTTTAGAAATAAACAATTTTATTCATTTAAATTTATAATATGATTAACTTGCATTACAATCTAATTGCAAACTAAGTTCTTTTTTTTTTTTTAATATGCTTACATTAAGCTGTTTTCACGCATTTTATTTTACAGTTAATATTAAGAAAATATTTCTTTAAGTAAGAAATTAGAAAGAAAATATTTCTTCCTTTTTTTTATTTTCTTTTTCTATGAAAATTATTTCTTTCAGGAAAAGGACTAAAATTCATTATTCGCGATTACAGTACGGCCGATTGCTGCTGCATTCAGCTATCACACACGCTTCAAAATGTTTTATTTTAAATAATTTATTCTATAATTAACATGAAGGAAAATATTTTTTCAATATAAAATATATACCAAAATTATACTAATCTATCCTGTATGTGTGATTAATTCGTATTGTAATTTTTGTCACACAATTACTAATACTTTTCTTTTAATATTACATTGCTGTTATTTTAATTTCTTATATATATATAAAAGTGCTTATTTAAAATATTCTTCCTTCTTAAAGATTTTATTCTGTGAAAATAATTAAAAGATAGTAATATTATTTTCACAATGCAAGTACCAAAGTAAAAGTAATCAATGTACGACGTATATAGGAAATTGAGGAACACGGGTTAAGATGAATCGTTCTTTGACAAAAAGTTTCTTTGACTTTTCGCGATAATTTAAACTTGGATTTTCGTGCTTTTTTTTGGCTCAAAATAAATAATCCATTAATTAATTTAGCGCGAAAAAATATTTTCTTTACCTTTACATAAAACGATATTCGTGTTAATAATATTGTAGCTAAATGATTTGGATAATTTCATATAAGAAAATCTTTTATATTAATTCAGATTATTTTATAAATTTATCAGTGTTTTTTAAATATACTGAAGGTGATTTTTTTCCAGATTCGCACTGTTTCTTTAAATATTTTTTTGCAGTTCGTGTCAAACCAGCGTTTCGACACATTAAACAGAAAACTAATAATAATCAATATCTCTTTTACAATATAAAAATGAGAACTCTGCTATGAACAGTATCTTTTTTTTTTAAGTTTACAAAGAAACAATGATTTTTTAATACTAATGGATTACAAAAGTACTATTCCATGAACAAAAAAGAGGAAAAAAAAAAAAAAAACATTTTCGTCTCTAGTGCACGAAACTATGTATCGGAAATTCTAAAGGTATGTCTCAGTCTTATAGCATTGTTACGTTATAGCATAATACAATAATAATACAGTATAATTCTGCTAATAAGCCCACCAGTGGCCGAGCGGTAGAGTCGCTGAATGCAGGTAGTTTGGTCCGAGGTTCGAATCCCACGAACGAGCTGCCCGCATCGGCATTTTCGTGGCTTTCCCCATTTGTAATGTGTATACAAGCCAGTTTCCTTCAGAAAGTCTTCCCTTAGAAATCAATTTTTAAGCGTAATAAAATTACACACACACACACACACACACAAAAAAAAAAAAAAAAAAAAAAAAAAAAAAAAACTGAAAGCTTTTAGATTTTATATTACTCCTCAAAGGCAGTTTTTTTTTTTTTTTTTTTTAAAATTTTTTGCGTGTTACCTTTATTTATTAAATATCATGTTCTTTGCATTTAAACCATAAAATTCAATTCAACAGCAAAATCATATAATTTAAAAAGAGCATGTCTTTAGAATTATTTCCGATACACAGTTTCGCATGCTAGAGATGAAAATGTTTTTTTCCTCTTTTTTTTTTTTTTCCCGTACAATGTTGCCATTGCTCGCTTTGAAATCATTCAGTTTCTTAATCAAACACTCATAAATGCTTTACAAAATATGAAATAGATAATAAAACAAATTCCCAGTTCCAAATTTTGGCCTCCAAGATGCCTATATTAGTATGGAGGATTACGTTATTCAAAATTTCATGGCTCTAGGTACTGTTGTTTTATCACAGTGCGAGAAACATTCATACAGTTATGCAGATTTCTCATTATTGAATTTCTTTAAATATAATACAGTGCGATGATATTTAGTGGCAACGATTTGAAAAGTGAAACGCTACAAAATGGCAAAGCGAAGTTAATAGCCCTTCTGAGCTAAAACTTATTTTTAAAAGTATCACACTAGTAGTAGTACTGCTACTGAAAAAATATTATAAAGCTATTTTATAGTTTTATAATTGTTTTTAAATTTTTTATTTTACAGTAGTGTGAATTTCACGTAATAATGAACGACATTCCTTTTTGTGTACAGTATTGTTCGTAAGGTATTCAACTGTTAAATTTTAAAATAAACGTAATTCTTGCTGTACATAAATCGAGTAGAAGCTTATCGGATGTCTATATGTGCTTAATAAACTTATTATCTTCTACATTTTTAAAGCATATAATTACAATTTATATCTATAATTTCAGGAATAGTATAAATAACCTTTCTTTCAATAGAAACTGCGTTCTAGTTTTCTGAATGTGGCTCCGAATACTCTATCAGTTCATCGCAAATTAAAATAACTATAAATTTTGGCAATTTGAAATACGCAATGAAAACATCTTCTGGCAGTGCGAAAGCATCAACATATTTTCTATAAATTCGCCACCGATTCAGAGATCTACGACCGTATTCTTCGTTTAAATATGAAAAAAAAATCAGCAGCGAAAACATATACAAAGCTATTGTCTACCTAGTACGTCAACTGCACAACCCTGATTGACGACGCGGCAACACTTTTTTGCGTGCTTTCTACAACTTCCGTACTCAAAGAATATAGGATGTCGGGCAGACCTGTTTTTCACCAGCAGCGACATCTGGCGGCCCACAACTTGCTGTCGACTCTCGTAGCGTAGAATAACCATCCAGAACAAGCTAGCAGTGCAGGTGCAGTTTTTTCAATGTACAATGTCAGTAAAATGAATCATTTTTACAAGTTTTTTTCCCCTCCTAGTAATCCTAAGAATGCTCAGCTGCAATCAACTAACAAACTTCAATTGCCACATTACGTCAGTCTAACATTTTTTTTAAAAAACAAATTACATCAATCTGACATTATCTTGCACAGCTTGCTTTTCTGCAGCTTTTTGCGACTTTCGAGACAACAATGTTATTAGTGAATTCACAAGTTTATTACTGAAGAATAATCTAAATGTATAACTGAAAGTTAGAATACCTTTACAAATAAATATCCACGATCTACCATTAATTGAAAAATGAAACAGAAGACAAAATAACTCGCATATAACTGTATTTTTCAGCAAAAGTCAGACTGAAATTGCAATAAATTCTGACAAATGAATTAGTTACATTATTCTGCATGGATGTATTTAATCTTTGTAAAATAATGGCCATATATGTGTGTATGTATAATAAGAAAATATGATAGCTGCTTTAAAAATAATTGACCGAGCTCAAAATGAATGATTCTAGATTTGGTGCTCTCCCCCTAAATTCATCTGTTCTCCCAAATTTGAGATCTTTCTATGTTATGTAACAACCTAAGAATAACCAATCATAGCTTAGAGAACTTACTGCATGTACTTAGTATAAATACTCTTGGCACAAAAATCTACGTCACTCTTTTCCTAGCTTCGCCACTGCTAAAATATCCCCATTGCTTTGCTTCCCAAAAGCCTACGTCATTTCCTTATAAAACTAACATACATAGCTATTTATCCTATTTAATTCTAATTGAATAAGTGTTCTCCAATCTAGTAATTGGTATATGTGTGAAAATAAACATAGGTGATTTATCGAAATCCAATTGCGTTATCTTCATCTGTATTGCCTTAACCATAAGCCATGACTATTATCAAAAGCTGTAAGGGGCTCCAGTGTTTTCTTCTATGCATTAAATCATTACACACACACATATATATATATTATGCACCTATGACATCAATGCATGGACTACATCTATCTTTTGTTTAGGTCTATTCATTTCAGAAATATATGATGATTAAGAATTTTGATTATTATTGATTCTTTTGTGAAGTGCAAATAATATGAGAGACAATTTTCAGTGTTTTACAGGGTTCATAGCCACATTTTAGTTAAAAAAATAAGCACCTATAAGCACTTTTCAAGCACATTTTAAGAAAAAAAAATAAGCACCCGTCTAATTACATTATACACAGCTGCATAACCTTAAAAGAAAAATTAGACTTGCAATTAAAAATATGAGCAATGCAATATTTATTAAGAGAATGAGCATTACCTCAACCATGGAAAACAACTTTTTTTTTTTTTAAATTTAAAATGAGAGTTCAATTTACAGAATTAGTTTACAATGAGAGAAAAAAAATGAACTATGCAGAACTAAACTATATTACAAGATTTAATGATGAAATTTCAGTTCAAAATATAGAAAATAAATAATAAGCCATATTAATTGTATTCGCTTGGCACCCAATAATAAATACAATTTATTTTGCCACTCATATTAATATTTAAATAATTTAAATCAAAATTCTGAACATTTTCTAAATTTTCATTGCATAACAGTTTTTCCTTAACATATATTCCAAGAAAAGTAATGTAAGTAAAAAAGAGGAACATTTCTGAAATCAGGAGAAGGGAAATTGCTTCATGCAGTCATCCTTAAACAGTAAAAGCTTAACTAACCCGCATACTCGGAAATTGCCGAATATTCTGTACAGTCGAGCGTAACTGGAAAAAGAGGAGGGGGGGGGAGATTGTAGTCGTTCTTTAGATTTCTCGGCTAAATAAATGATTTTGACATTTCGATATGTTCATCATATAAATATAGACCAACGGAACTGAGAAATATTCTGTTTAAAAGCACAGTAAACTCTTTTAAGGTGTTCAAAATACTCTCAGACTGAACATCAAGTTTAATTATCTCTGCAAAATATCGCATACATTATTGCGCAATACGTGTGGCGTAATTCTTCCATATGCGATATTACGCAATCGGAATCAACAGCAACCGGTATTCGGAGAATAAAGAACTAAATAAAGGAAAAGAAAGAGACTTACTAATCTGGGGTGTTTTTGATTATAATTTTGAACAGACTGCGTTAAATTTCCGGAATAGAATCATTCTTCGCTTGGGTTGGGTAGACCGCAAAACTTTTAGTCCTATTCAATCCAGATTGGACAGTGACAAAAAAAAAAAAAAAGTCCGCTGCTTCAATATTAGACCTTTTACGGAGAAAGGGGAGAACCTCCCAACCTCCGTACTGTATAATGTATTGGGGGAAAAAATTATTCTGACTATTCGATTACTTTCCTTATTTAAGCCATTCCGAATATTATTCCTTAGAAAGCTAATCTGTGTAAAAATACACCAATTTTTGGAAGTTTATCTACACTTCAGCAGCTACTGCAACTATATTATTATAAATATTCATACATATGCTCATAATACAAGCATAACGATCATAATAAACACGAATATGAACTGACCAGGTGGAACTAGAATGCAAATTATTAAAATCTTGATAGAAATTCAAACATGTGTAGTATTTGGGTGGGCGGAAAAGAATACCGAATGTACCGGAATTTTCTACGGTTCTCACAATTCTTTGACCAAAAGAATGACGTGCAACTGTCTATACTCTCGCACACACCATTGGTTACGTTAATGCAGAGAAAGGGGGAAAAGCTATTTCCGGGAGTATGATTCACCATCTGATGTTCCATATAAGGAAGAAAAGTTGTTTATTTAGTTTCGGCTTTGGTACGGGAGGAAAAATGCGCGTTCATTAAAAAAAGCACTAAAAGCAAAAAATAAGCACTAAAAAAAAAAAAAAAAAAAAAAAAAAAAAAAAAAAAAAAATACGGGCTTTAAAGAAAAAGTAAGCACCTATAAGGGCCTTTATATTTTATTTTCAAATATAAGGACTTATAAAAACTTGTAAGGACAACTACGAACCCTGGGTTTATGGACCCTCGACCCCAAAAAAGTGTAATTCATCAAATTATACACAAATCGTATTTCAGAGGAACTTTGTAAAATTATTTCCCTGGATTTTATATCTTACTAACCTAATTCAATAATTTCACATAACTATTCAAAATTTTAATACATCTGGATGGAGAATGATTATGCAAAAATTAATTTCAAAACTAACATATAAAAATTTGCTATATTTTTCCCCCACAGAAATATATTAAGTGAATTAAGAGAATTCAACACTTTTTAAAAGAAAATGCAATAACTTTTAATTAACTCATTTACATAACTGCAGACATACATAAATAACAACTTGTAATACAATGGAAAAACTGAGATCAACATACCAAGGCACGCCTCCTTCACTTTTTATCAAAAAAACCCTTTCAATTGCATGAGCAGCATACGTATGCACCACACAACTTTTTGCATTTAATAAATTAATTATATTTGGCAAAGTGTTAAGAACAACCTCTCTAGGCAACTAGAATGAAAAAGAAACATGAATCAACTGAAGCATAAAATGGAATAAAGGTTACAGAATCCGACAAGACTTAATTTAGACTTAATTAGACAAGTAATGGAATTTAAATTAAAATATGATTAAAAAATTATGGTTCAATAGTGGCTATAATTTGCTTTAGTAAGTTTATGATAATCATTTTTGTCATAAATATAAATTTTTTTTGGAAGGGGGATATCTTTCTCTGAATAATGCATAGAAGAATAGTTTGTGTTAAGATACTATGGTACTCTTCTGTTACTGGGACTGGATTCAGAAATGTATGAATGCACGAGTGTGCATATATGTGTTTTGTGTATAACACACACATACATATGTACACTGAGGAAAAAAAAAAGCACAGTTCTATATCTCCCGTTCTACTGGGCAGATTGACAAAATTCAAGTTTCATTTTTCATGTCTCGAAAGTGCGACTTGGGATATTTATTAGATCTATATATACCACTATTCTAACATAGGTATTTTGAAACAAAAGCGGACCTATTCTGAAATAACATACCATTTTTTTCCATATTTCGATTCTACGACTCAAATTACGCCAGACTGCCAAGTTTTGTAAAAATCAAACGAGTAGTTTTTAACAAATTAGTTCTCAAAATTTTAACTCCTCAATGTTAATTGAATTTGCCAAATATTCATTAATATCTCTTTTTTTTATTAAACTTTTTGATTCTTCCTTTCATATTTCAAAATTAAGGTTCATTTAAAATAAAACTCATGCATTTTTTATGATTTATTTTTAAAATTTGTATTTTTAAATAACTTTTATAAATTTTTCGAAAACAATTTTCGAAAACTATAAAAGTTTTACATCATCTTAAAGTAGGTGTATTTCTAAACATACCCGCAAAAATTTAGACTTTTTTTATTCAAAATTTTCTAAGATATACACGAATTTACATATTTGCACATTTTGAAATTTGGCATCTTCCAAATGTGGTTTATGAATTTTGTTACAGTGAATTGCCACAGCTATTTTTAACCTTAGATTTCAAATAAATTTTTAGGAAAATAATTATATGAGATTTTTTCTGTCAATGATGCATAATAAGTATTTAATAATACTATGTGAAAAGCTTTTTTTTTTAAATTATTGATGATATTATTCAAATTTTTAACTTTAACTTTTCTCTTTAAATTTCTTTCTTTTTTTTTTTTCCTTTTTTTTAAAAAAAAATGTTTGTAAGAGTAAATTTTTTTCTTCGGCGTGTTATCGTCTGCTACTTTACTTTAACTTCGTTTAAATCGAATTGTCTAAAACTGAGAACTTTCGTTTGATGTTTATTTGAATTTTACGAAAATATTTTGTGACATTAACTGCATAATTTATTTCTAAACAAGCTGTTGCTTATGAAGTTGCTGAAAGAGTGGCTGATACTATCATCCATATTTTTAAAGCACAGTATATTTTTATAGAAACATAAGATTTAGAATAATCATTTTTATAAAAGTCAAATTATAATACAAACATACAACCCTCTACAGACCGAATTAATGGAAATTCAATGGTTATGTAAAAATGATCTGTAGCTACTTAATGGCTCGATAGGTCAGCAGGTTCTGTGGACAAGTAAGAATATTTATATAAACGACACCCAACATTCTGAATTCAATTACCAACGAGGGTACGATGTTTATTAAATGAATTTAAGAAGTTTTTAAACATAAAAAATTAACTCCTTTTTTATTCTAAAATGTATTTTTCTGTGTAGCATATTTTCATTATATCCTTAAAATTCTAATTTAGAATGTAATTGTCAAGAACTGAATTCTAATCATCAGTAATATAATAAGTGATTAGTACAGTTATTAACAAATCCTTCTTATAAAGTAACTGCAAATATTTCAAAAGTTGTCCTTTTGTATGCAAATATTTCTAATTATATATTAATCAAAATTGCACAAGATATTATTTATTTGCACTTCAATTCTTACCGTCAGCTCTAGTAGAAGTTACAAATTAACTATGTTTAATTAAGGAATGACCAAGTTTAAAAACAGTGTATTGGTGCTGTAAACAGCAATTCAATTAATGGCGCCGTACCTTTGTTTCTCCCGATTGGCAAGCTACATGTTATTTAATGAGCGTTTGGGTTTGCTAGTAACTTCACTAGGAAATCGCGCTTAAACTAGGTTAGTTGGTTATTTGAATATAGGAAGAACATGGGAGCTATTTGGTTAAGATGCTTTCATAGAGGACCTAGAAAACTACGAAAACCAACCCTGCAGCCTGGGTTAGATTTCACAACAAACAATTAGTATTTAACAATCTTCAAATGCTAGGCAACTGGTGAGGCTCCAATTAAATTTCCAAATTAATATTTTATTTGTAAATATTTAAAATGTTGTATTCTTAGATAAAAAAGCAGAATTTTTGTGAACTCATTAGTAAACTACCAAGCCGTACTGCAAATAAATATTTAATTTCTTTTGCAATAATTGAATTCATTTAACATTCTTGGAAAATGAGCTAAAAAAGGAATGTTCTCGGAAGATTAACCCTTTGCGGCTCAGTGTTCCACTACATGGAACACCCAAATTGAATCGCTTCTGAAACCTTTAAATTCAACCGTAAATAGATAAAAATGCCTATATAATATACTTTGAACTTTTCTTTTTAAACAGTAAATAGCAGCATATCACAAGGAGACACAGAATTTTCACTTATTATGTGTTATTAAAATCCACTTTTCTTTCAAGTAATTTTCTCTACTTTTTTAATGATATAAAAAATTTTATTTGGAAAAAATTAGGCATAATTTTTCTGGCTGTACTCCAAATTATTTGTTCTATATTTTTTTAAATCTGTCACACAAAAACCATATGCAAAATCATTTAATAAAACCGGGTGTTCCATTAGCGGGAACGCTGCACCTATAGCGATCTCATGCTGTTACGAATCATAACATCTGTGCTTAGGAGAGAACATTCGTTGTTTACGTTTTCTGTTTCCGTTGTTTTGGGGGGAAATGAATTCAAACAAAGCAGTATTGAGGGGTAAGGTGTGTTTTGCGTTATGAAAGCCCTAATATTTGCATCTCGAATTTTTTTGGAGTCCTTTTTAGGCGGAAATTTTATTAGTAGCTTGACTCATCTTTATTTAGACCTGCGCAAATTTTTTGTTGTCGCTTTTTAGTCTCATTCCCGTTTATTTTCAATAATTGTTTTGTGTTATGAAAGCCCTAATACTGGCATCTCGAATTTTTTGCTGTCGCTTTTTAGTCTCATTCCTTTTATTTTCAATAATTGTGTAGATATTTTTCGTGTATGTATATATTATAGACTTATTTTTCTTTATTGTTAATATTAACTGTAGTTAATTTTTTTATTATTAATTTTCCATAAATGGCGCGGAGAGGTCTAACTCTTTCCGAAGCACTAAAAGTGTTTCATGAATTACCCTCGGATTACAGCCCAAAGAGTTCAGTTTAAATTTGCTGTGTTCCCTCTGTGCCATGAAAGCGTCAGAGATAACTTTGAAGAGGCGACTTCCATCAAGACCTGAAGATACTCCCAGGCATAAAGTAAAGGTTTCCGGGGGAAAACGCTACAGTTGTGTTGAACACATACCGGTGAAGGGTACGCATCCCATCGGCTTTTTTATTTCCGATATTTCAATTGATAGTTTTTCACTGCGTACAAAAATTTATGTTGTTAAATCGTTATGTAATCAAATTGTATTAGGTTTGGATGTATTGAATCAGTTTAACTTCTCTTTTACCGAGAATGGCCTTCAAATAATTTCTCATCAGAATAAAAGTAATGTAAGCTTGATAACTGCCGAGTCATCTCGAAATTCTAACGTTCGTTGCATTATGGGAAATTTGAATATTGCTGTGTCATTGAAGAATGCTTATGATCTTTCTCAGTCATCTGACGTCTCCGTTAATGTAAACAAAAGTCCCGAAAGTGGAAGTAGCTTGACGTTTAATTACCTTTCACATCTGGTGAATGCTATTTCTGTCAACGAGATTAATTTATTACATATTTCGAATGTGGAACATAAAGAAAGACTGTGTAATTTAATTAATTCGTACCAACCTCGGAAAAATAGACAATCTGACTTTAAGATGCGGATAAATTTATGCGATGATGTCTCTGTCTGTCAAAATAGAAGATACATGTCTTTCGCGGAACAAAAAATTGTTGACGATCAAATTAAGGAATGGTTGAAAGAGGGCGTAATAAAGCCTAGCAATTCTAATTATTCGGCGCCTACTGTTTTGTGTAACAAGTGTGATAATTCGAAACAATTATGCATAGACTATCGGAAATTAAATAAGAAGATTATTAAAGACAAATTTCCACTGCCTTTAATTCCGGAAGTACTTGATCGCTTAGAATAGTCAAAAGTCTTCACGACACTAGATTTGAAAAATGGCTTTTTCCATGTAGACATAGATGAAAAAATGCACCAAAGTATACCGAAGTACCATTTGTAACACATAATGGTATCTTATGAATTTATGAAGCTTCCTTTGGTTTATGTATTAGTCCAAATGTTTTTCAAAGGTATATTTATTCAGTGTTTCGCGACTTGATAAATGAAGGTGTACTAATTATTTGTATGGATGATATAGTCGTACCGGCTAATGAAATGATGAAATTGAATGTTTAGACAAATTAGAAAGAGTATTCAAAACTGCTTCGGAATAAGGATTACGAAATAAATTTTAAATAAAAAGTGCCAATTCTTAAAGCGTAAAAATTGAATTTTGGGGACATGTAATTGAAAACGGAACTATTCGAACCATCACCTTCCAAAACTGTTGCTGTTCGAAAACTTTCCACAACCGCATAACTGTAAACAACTACAAAGCTTTTTAGGACTAACGGGATATTTTCGTAAATTCATTCCTCAGTATGCTAAAATAGCTACTAAACCTCTTAGTGACTTGCTTAGAAAAGGTATTGGTTTAAGTTCGATTCTGAACAAACAGGAAGCTTTTTGCAGATTAAAGAAAATTCTCTCTCAAG